CTGTACAAGTGGTACCTCTGGTTACAAACTTAATTTGTTCCGGAGGTCCATTCTTAACCTGAAACTGTTCTTAACCTGAGGTACCACCTTGCCTAATGGGGCCTCCAGCTGCCACTGCACCGCCACCGCGCAATTTCTGTTCTCATCCTGGGTCAAAGTTCTTAACCCGAGGTACTACTTCCAGGTTAGTGGAGTCTGTAACCCGAAGTGTTTGTAACCCGAGGTGTTTGTAACCTGAGGTACCACTGTAATTCTGTCTATTTTTCAACTGCCTAGGTAGAGGACTGTCCACTGGGACAGCATCCAGCAACTGGGTCCTGGAAGCAGTGTAGGATTGAAGGGCATTACAACACTTTTCTAGCTACCCATTCCTTGTGGTTGTCCCCATGGAGAGCTCTGGAAAGAAAGGTGTGACTTCTCTCCCACATGCTTGGCTCTTACAAGAGGTGCAAAAAGTCCACAGTGAGAAATGGTCCTCCTTTTCTCTCTCTTGTTCTCCATGTTTGCTTTTGCATCTCAGCAGGAGAAACACAAAAGTTGTCTCCTCTCTCAAAGTGAGGTTGAAGAAGAAAGAAGGAAATGAGGCCCTTATCCCTAAGAGTATCAGTCTAGACTGGAGGGAAGGTCAGCCCAGGTTAGGTCAGAAAGGTCAGTCTAGGAAACTTTTTTTAAATAATAATTTTTATTAACCGACCAATCAAATCAAATCAAATCAAATCACATAAATTCCGAATTACAAAGCCAAATTTTAAATTTTTTGTTGAGGGGACACATATTTCAAGTTCCGAAGGGGGATTCCGATCATCTTCTTGCTGCTGCGTTAATATCCAAATCAGTCCAAATAAAGTTCATAATTCTATCCAGACTTATCTTGCTGTTTCCACATCTCATCTTGTTCGTATATATTTTTTTATTTTTTTATTTATGATCTCTTCTGATAATCTCCTTAAGCTGATAAACCCCAATTGTAATCCTGTGTGAATTTTCCGTTCGTCCAATCCTCATATCGAGATGGTTTCCATATATCATTGTTTTCATAAATAACATCGCTCTTTCCATCATTTATCTCGCAAACTGTCAGGAGGAGGAGATTGAGGAGTCTCACACACAATACAAAAGCAGCTCTATTCCTCCTCCCAGACTCAAGTCCTTCGACAGAGCTTGCCAACATGGCGACGGTATTTTTAACTGCGTCATTCCAAAGCTCTTATACATTCCACAATCTTCTTAAAACATGCTTTGGTTAGAAAATTTATCTCCACAGAGTCTTAAATCCACAGCTTAAGTCATTAAAACGACATTTCTGACTTGTGAGGGGGGGGGATTCTTGTTTAATCACATAGAGGAAAGAAAGGAAAGTTTTTTTCCCCCTCCCCCATCCAGTCCCTTTGCCATACCGAGTCTTGGCGTATCTTCTCATGATTTATTCTTGTTCCTCCGACTCGTCTTGTTTATCAGAGATCTCTTCAGTTAGCAGTCTTTACTCCCCCTCCTTCCTTGTAATATGTGCATTCCCTTCCTCCTAATTGATTCTTTTGAAGTTCTTGCAGCTAGCGGCGCGGATCAGAGACAGCGTCCAGGAGCACCAAGATCCACAGGAGGGCATTCTGCCTAGTGCCCCCATCCCCACAAATTTGGGGGTGGTATAGGGCACAGCAGGCAAGGGCAGGCCCCCCCCAACCTTGGGGGGGGGTAGGGAGGCTATTTACTCCCATCACAGCCTCCTAATTACCTCATGTGGGTCGGAGAGATGTTATTGTCAGCCATCTTCCAATGCGCCCCTAGTGGCTCCTCCTCAGTCTAGGAAACTTGGCAGTTCCTCTTTCTATCTGCTCTGTCCTAGGCAGACACATCAGCCTCCAGTGCAAGCTGAGTTGCATCCCAGTCTGGGGGGAGCATCTCATGCCTTTTCAAGGTGAACAGAACCTGGGACAGGAAAAGAGGGCAAAGGGTTCACCCCTCCTGGCAGTATCCAAATTGCCCTCCCTGCCTCTTCTGCACATGAATTTGCCTTGCCTTGCTCTGCATTTTGCTTCTCAGGCTTTGAGAAGCAGATGCAAGGCTTCTGTCAGGATCCTGCAGCCCTCCTGCCTCCTCTGAGGTGGGAAGTGCTTGCCTGGCTTGGGGAAGGAAGTGGGAAGGCTCTTGGACCCTGCCAGAGCATTTCGCCTCCCTTCCTAAGCCAGGCAGAAGCTTCCTGGGCTTTGGGAAGAAGGCGCAGGGCTCTGATTTAGGGAAAGAAAAAGGTCTCTGAACTGTGTTCTGGAGCGTTCTGCCAGGAAAAAAGTGCTGGGCGTGATGTTTGGCATGGGGAGCCAGTTTGTAGGTATCTGAAAGTTCATATTTTGATTACATGTTTTCTTGTTTCTCTGCTGTGCAGCTGAGAAAGTAACTTCGTTGGGAAAGGACTGGCACAAGTTCTGTTTGAAGTGTGAGCGCTGCAACAAGACCCTGACTCCTGGTGGGCATGCTGAGGTAAGAGTCCCACTGGACATGGCCTGCTGCATTGGGGTAGTTTCTGGGAGCGCTTGCCTTTGATCTGTTAACTGGGTGGATATATTTTGGCCAATAGCCTCTCTTCTGAATTCTGCCAACAAAGTGTTTACCCTCAAGATGTTTGGGGCAATTGTAGTGTCATGCAGGATAAGGTGTTCCAGCTCTTCACTGTCACAATTACCCAGAGTAACAATTGGGGCAGCACCTCCCAGTCTGTGAGGCTCCAGCGCAGTAGGCGCTTTCCAGTTCACAGGGTTGTGTGGGATTTGTTGCATGTTAAGATGGGCTTCCAATTTCACTTTGCACAAGGATAGTTCATCAGGAGTATCTTTTCAGTGGCAGAACAAGAAACAGGAATGACAAATTAGAAAGGAAAGAAATTATTCTACCTAATTCTGTGTTGCCTGAAAGCAAAAGCTTTTCATTTTTTTCCCCTAAGTTTCTGTGCCATTTCAGATAAGTTTATGAAATGATTTATGCCTATCTTTCCCCCTTTCTGTCTGTACGTGTAATTACTCCATTTGAATCTGGAGAGTGGTTCCTCTTGTTGTTCCTTCTAAAAACTAAATAAAGAGGTTAAATCATACCTTAGACAATACCTTGATTAATTATAAAAATATTTTTGCTCCAAAGTGCTTGGCATATGCTCCTAAGCCTAGCCTTCGAGTCATTGTAAATTGTTGGAAGGTGACTTCTACTCTTCCTTCCCACTTGGGAACCAGAAATTATTATTGCTTCAGCTCTTCTGCTCCTGGCCTAGGGGCACTTTGCCTCCGTCAGCTCAAGCAAACACCATTTATTCCCCAATTAATGTTGTAGAGAGAGCAGAAGGAAAGTGTATCTGGGTACTGCCCTATCAAGTGTGCCCACATAGAGAGCTGTAGGTAGGAATCATCTGCTTTCAAGGCATGAGGTTCCCCATTATGTGAAATCTGAGAAAAGTGACTCACCCGAGAAGCACTTTCTCTCTGAAGGTGTGTCTTAGCCAGCACACTGGAGTGCTTCCAGGGAGCTGGGAAGGTTTCTTCCTGACTGCACCACGTCCCACACTTGGAGGAGTCACACCCAGCAATTTTCTTTCCGTGCTTCACGTGGTGGGTGAGCTTCTCTCTTGTCTGCTAACTGATGACAAGCCTGCTGTTGCTACTAGAAGGTGGAAGGATGTTTTCTCAAGCTGTATTTGCTTTTCCTTCTATGGAAGTACAAGCAGTGCATTCCTCGCATTAAGGGAGAAATATGTTCATGCCTTATCACCATTTCCTCTCACAAATTGACTCCTGTTGACAGTTAAGTGCAGATACTGCCAATATTGTTTGCTATGCTTGTGATGTTCATGCTAGAGCAACACGGCACATTTACGTAGGTACTAGAGCACTGAATGAAACCTAATGAACAACTAAACATGCAATACCTGAATACGTCCTCATACATATGCATCTCAAAACCTCAATATAAACAAGTATAGACATGTTCCTCCTAGTTTTCCATGTGGAAATATGATACTCCTGTCACTAAAAATTGTGGATGATTGACAAATTCTCATCTTCCATTTGTTATAAGTATATGAAAACACACATGTAGCATCTGAAAAGGCCCATGTCAAAAAATTGCTGCTTTACAGCATAATCTGTTATTGCTGAATTATTTGCTTTGTTCATCTGTTTATAAAACTTAATAAACACAGTTTAAAAAAGAGAGGAGCAGGAAAGGTGCTGGTTTGCTGAAAGGTTATTCTGGTGCCCCAGGGCGATGAGGAGGCAGGGAAAGAACAAGCCTCTTTCTTCTCGCTGCAAGCTGCTGCTGCTACTGCTGCTTGCCAGATGAGTAAAAGGAAGGATATTTGGCAGCTGGTGCAGATGGCTTTGGTAGGCCTGCAATATGAAAGGCGGCGCTTTGTCCTGGATCTTAGGCAAGTCAATCAGATTTTTTGCCAGCTCAGATTTTGATGTGAGCTGGATAATTCAGTTGACTTCAGAAGCTTGCATTTGATATTTGATATTTTGATTTGATTTTTTAAAAAATGCTTTATTGGTTTTTTTAAAAAAACTACACAACACAAAGTACTGGTAATCAACAGAAAGAAAAAAATAAACAAACATTCATTCCATAATTAGCGCTTGTTGTAGGTAAGTTTGTAGTTGGTTTCCACATGACCTCTGGTCCCTGCATTGTGGTTCCCAAATTACGTTATTTTTACTACACACTAAGCTTTATCTCTTCTAAGTTATTTTGATAACATTGCTTTTATAAAGTTCTCTTGTTACATGCAGAGTCAATCCAGACCTGCCAACGGATTTATGTTTTTGCAATGTTCATTTAAATAAACTGTACACATCCCACTCTCTATTAAATTTTTGATCAGTGACATCTCAAAACCTTGCTGATAGTCTGGCTAGTTCTGCATATTCTTGCATTTTGTTTTGCCAGTATAGCTTGAATGGGATAGCATCTCCTTTCCAACCCTCTGCAATTAAAATTCTACTGTAGCATACATGAAAATTATCCTAAATTTGTTTGGAATTTAGTTGTTCATTGTTCCTAGCAGGAAGGCTTCAGGCATTTTAGGGAAAGAACATTTTTTTTTATGTTTGTTGTAAATTATCTCCCAAAATTCTCTAATTCAGGAGTCGGCAAACTATGGCCCGGGGGCTGGATGCGGCCCACCAGGCTGGTAAATCCGGCCCATGGACACAGCCGCCCGCTTGGACGGTCCCCGCGCTGAGCTAAACCGGTGCGGTGTTTCATTGAAAAGAAGCCACGAACACCTTGCCATGCGCAAGGACTGACTTCCACCATGCTGGCACGGCTTTGGATTGGCTGCAGGAAGCTTCTGCAGCCATTCCGAAGCCTCGCCGTCTGCGCGCTGAGGTAAACCTGGTATTGTGACGGGCGCATTGTGACGGGCGCATCACCGCTCGGCGCTGCTGCTGGTGGCGCACTCAGCGGCTGCGCTGGAGCAGCTTGAGGGCGAGCTGTGCACGGCCTGCCCGCCAACCTGGCCTCAGACGACGGGCTGCAGCACATGGTGCATGCCGCCTGGGAGCTCCGGGCATACGGGCTTGTCAAGAACGCCGGTGAGTGGGCAGCACCGAGACGCGCTCCTGAGCACATGCAGAGTGCGTTCCTCCTCCAGGTCTGGAGGCAGCTGTAGGACCAGCTTGCAGGGTATTTATATTTTTCAAAATATAGTCTGGCTCCCCACAAGATCTCAGGGACGGTAGACTGGCCCCCTGATGAAAAGGTTTGCTGATGCCTGCTCTAACTCTTACAGTTTCCCCACATGTGGATTATTGTGCCTTCTGCCTCCCTGCATTTCCAACAGGTCTTTGGACTAGATTTAAACATTCTGGCCAGTTTGACAGGTGTTAAATACCACCTGTAGAGCGTTTTCATGCAATTTTCTTTTAAATCATAACATGCAGTGAATTTTAAATTTTCCCTCCCAAGCCTCTCCCATGAGTCCATTTGGATATTATAGCCAAAATCCCTAGCCCACTGCACCATTACGGATTTTACTTCTTCCTCCTTGTCCTCCCAGTCAAGGAGGAGCCTATACATTTTGGAGAATAAAGGTAAAGGTAAAGGGACCCCTGACCATTAGGTCCAGTCGTGACCGACTCTGGGGTTGCGTCGCTCATCTCGCTTTATTGGCCGAGGGAGCCGGCGTACAGCTTCCGGGTCACGTGGCCAGCATGACTAAGCCATGTTAGCGAAGTTCGTAACCCTAAGCATTTGTAACCCGAGGTACCACTCTATAATGATTTCCTAATCACATGGTTTGAGAAACCTTTATGCACTTTGGCCTTCTCATAACCTAGATAAGCATGCCAGCCGTATCTATTATCGAACCCTTCTAGGTCCAGTCTTTTTTAATGTCATCCACTCCTGTATCCTGGAAAGGCAAGCTGCTTCATGAGACAGTTTCAGATCCGGTACTGCAAACCCTCCCCTTTCTTTTATATCAATTAATAATTTGTGCTTTATACTAGGTTTTCTGCCATTCCAATAATAATAATAATAATAATAATAATTTTTATTTATACCCCACCCTCCCCAGGCTGGGCTCAGGGCAGCTAACAAGCAATAATAAAAACAAGTTGAATGAATACAACTTAAAAACAAGATTAAAATACAACATTAAAATATTGAAACATTAAAATATTAAAATGCAGCCTCATCACAGGAGGAGAAAAGGAAAAAGAAAGAGGGGGAGGGAATCAAATTGGCTCCAAGCCAAAGGCCAGGCGGAACAACTCTGTCTTACAGGCCCTGCGGAAAGAAATCAGATCCTGCAGGGCCCTGGTCTCATGAGGCAGAGCGTTCCACCAGGCCGGAGCCAGTGTTGAAAAGGCCCTGGCTCTGGCTGAAGCCAATCTAACTTCCTTAGGGCCCAGGACCACTAGGGTGTTGCTATTTATGGACCTTGAGACTCTCCGTGGGGCAGACCGGGAGAGGAGGTCCCGAAGGTACGAGGGTCCAAGGCCGTGAAGGGCTTGAAAGGTAAAAAGCAGCACCTTAAATCTGACCCTGTACTCCACCGGGAGCCAGTGCAGCTTGAAAAGCACTGGGTGAATATGCTCCCATGGCAAAGACCCTGTGAGGAGCCTCGCTGCAGCATTCTGCACCCGCTGGAGTTTCTGGGTCAGCTTCAAGGGCAGCCCCGCGTAGAGCGAATTACAGTAGTCAAGCCTGGAGATGACCGTTGCATGGATCACTGTGGCCAGGTCGGGGAATAATAAATCTTAATATATCCTTCTGGCAATCTTTGAAGCAGCTCGCTGTTCCTATAACTGGGATGAGTTGAAACAAAAAGATCATTTTTGGAAGCACACTCATTTTTATCGTGGAAATTCTTCCCCAAAAGGAGATATTTAGCCTATTCCAGATTTCCAGTTTGTTTTTTATCTCCTTCCAGGTGCTGGCATAATTAGCCTGAGATAAATTGATGTTCTTCACTGTGAGCCATATGCCCACATATTTAACTTTTTTGCTAATTTCCGGGTCACAGAACTCGTGTATTTCACTTTTTTCCTGGGCTTCCATATTTTTTGACCAATAATTTGACTCGAACTGAAGGATACCAAACAGTCTCCCAGCCACTTGTTGGCTTTTGCCACACTAGATTTTACTCTGAATATTTTTTCAGTTCCCTTAAGTATTTTGCCTTCTTGTAGCTCTAACCACTTGGCTAGCTCCTTAATAATTTGCTCATCTATAATCTCTTCAAAGGGACGCGGGTGGCGCTGTGGGTAAAAGCCTCAGCACCTAGGGCTTGCCGATCGAAAGGTTGGCGGTTCGAATCCCCGCAGCGGGGTGAGCTCCCATCGTTCGGTCCCAGCTCCTGCCCACCTAGCAGTTCGAAAGCACAAGTAGATAAATAGGGACCACTTACCAGCGGGAAGGTAAACGGCGTTTCGTCTGCTGCGCTGGCTTGCCAGAGCAGCGATGTCACGCTGGCCACATGACCCGGAAGTGTCTCCGGACAGCGCTGGCCCCTGGCCTATAGAGTAAGATGGGCGCACAACCCCAGAGTCTGTCAAGACTGGCCCGTACGGGCAGGGGTAGCTTATAATCTCTTCGGTCTCTTAGGGGATACCTCTTAATCTCAGAGTCAACTCAATTAATTTGGCGTTTTGGTCGATTTTATTTCCCATCCTTTCAAGTTTGTCATCTATTATTTGGTGTTCTCATCACTACTGTCTATATGTGGGTTTTTTTGTTCTTTTTGCCATGCCTTTGCTCTAACTTTGTGATTTTCTAAATATCCCTGGAAACTGTGTGCGTATTTTATGTTCTCAGTATCTTTTAAAAATATTGATGTATTGTTTTTAAATTTTACAACAAGCACTTTGTGAGTGGATGGCAAATTTAGAATCTCAAATAAAATAACAAAACCTTTTGGCATCTCCAGATTCTTTATAGACTCAAGTTCAAATGAAATAGTCAGTGCCCTCCCTTTATGATTTAGTGATTTATCAGCCTTCAGTGAACAATTGTTTGAAACTAATAATCTTTTCTTAACACTGGCTAATCTAACAGTTGCCATTTCTGTCTTAGCACGATGGAAAGCCGTATTGTCACAAACCCTGTTACGCAACATTATTTGGACCAAAAGGTAGGTTTTTCTTTCCGGGTGGTTTGACCGTTTCAACTCCAGACACAAATGCTGATAAATCTCTCTCTCTCTCTCTCTCTCTCTCTCTCTCTCTCTCTCTCTCTCTCTTTTTAAATAATATTTATTCAAAATTTCATCAATACATAAAAGAACCCCAACCCTAGCCCAAAAAAGAGAAAATAGAAAATAAAAGAAAAAGAAAAAATACAAATCTCCAATTACAGTTTTTCATTTGCTTAGTTCTTGAACCTCCTCACACCTCCCTTTTTGTATTCTAGTTTAGTTCGTTATTTCAGCAAATTCTTCCCATATTTCTCAATTTTAATTTATATAGTTAATCATCACACTCTATCTTATTTATTAAACAACATACCCTTTCCCTCTTTTAAAATAATCTATTATTCAATTTACGTTACTCCATTTACCCTTATCTTATGTTAAAAATCTTAAAATTTCAAAAACACAACATATTCATACATTTTTCCTTAAGAACATTTCTACTAAAGCCAATTTAGTTCCTTTCCGGCAAATCCCTCAAATTTCAGTAATATTACATTAATTCCAAAATTAACATAGACAATTTCTAATTTTCATCCAACGTCCCTTCATCCTGGTTTCGGGTCATATCAATCCTTTCTGTCCATTACTTAGTCCATCAATCCGGTGTTCTGATGTCCGAGGCTCTTAAGTCTCTTCTATGCCCCTTCTGCAGATTTTTTTTTCTTGTTTGTACTTACGCAGTTCTTTGACTATTGTTAGTTTCTGGGGGAGAGGGTTCCATCCAGTAATGATTTCCATTTTTCTTCATCTGATTGTCTCCTTCCCCCCAGATCCACTCCCAATCCTCATCTTTATAGTCCAAAAAGTATTTGTCCAAGTAGTTGATCACCTGTTTCAGAGTAGAAGACTTCCTTAACTTCAAATGCTTCCCAGCACTCTCCAAATTCCATCATCCAAGGCAATAGCTTTTGTTCCTGTAGAACTTTGGGTCTTACCATTTGTGTAGTATAGGAAATAACTGCTGCCTCTTCCTTCTCCGTCTGCCCTTGAACTTGCTTTGTCAAGCCTTATTCCTGAGTTGTTCGCTGTGTAACTTCTTTATCCTTGTTCCCTGTTAAGTCATATTCACTGGCAACAGCACTCATAAAGTCCAATTTTTCATTCATCAGGCTCATTTTCCCGGACAGCTGCTCAAGGAGAGCATTAGTGCTGTCAAGGGCAGACACCAAACCTTCCTGCCAAAATATTCCTGTTCAAAAACAAGGTCAGACGGCTGTTCCCACGGTCCAAAGCCTCATGTATGTAAGCTGAGACCGCAAACTGACAGGCTCCCTATAGGGGACACAGTTTCTATTTGTATCCATTTTTCAGGAAAGTATCAAACAAAGAAAGTTACTTTCAATTTCAAAGTCCCTTCAGTTTCAAATACTTTGTTTCTTTAAAGCAAAAAAGCAGAAGGTGGCGTTGAAGTTAGTTTGTTTCTCTTTTCTTTTATTTTTTTCTATCTGTCAAAGTACTCCACTTTCAATCGATGGACGTCTCAAGCAGATTCTGTCCCGATACCCCGTCCCCAGGTTTGGGACGGTAGAAACTTATATTCCTTCTCTCACTTCCTGCAGGATTAAACAGTCAAATTCCCCCCCCCTTTCCTGCTTCCAAGGGGGGTTTTGTTGATTATGGGTGCAGGAAAATTCTTTAAAAAGACTTTTTAAGCTATTAGGTTGCAAGGTCTTTGCTTCAATCCGTATACAAGAACGGGAGGCGGACTTCCTGTTTACACCTTCCCGCTTCGTGCCTAATTCATAAAATTTATAAGTTCTTAATCCAATTCTCCATTTTTACTCATGGGTACTTGATTTAGAGTCCAAATGTCATCAGGAAAAAGTCAGCGCTCTCCGGCGATGGCTGCGCGGCTTCCCTCCATGGAAATAGCGATCGGTTCGATGCACCGCGCTGCTCACCCCACTTCACTCCGGAGCCCCAAAAATGGGTTTCCTTGTGAGTAGGGGAGGCGCTCTTGGTGCTCTGCCAAACCCCACAGTCCCAGGCTTCCGCCGCCTGGGATTTCTAACGGGCCCCCGCCTTCGCCGCGGCGGGAAGCCCCAATTTCCAAGGAGCCCGTTCCTCCAGTCGGAGGAACTCCGCCATTTGCCGATGGCGCCAACCCGGAAGTCCCCCCCCCCCCTTACCTTCTCATCACTAAAGCCAACTAGAGACATCACTTTTGAGTTTATATAAGGTCTGTCTTCACATATCTCTGGTGTGGCACACCTTGTGGTTAGAGGTGTGCTCTATTTTAAATAGGAGCAACTTTGAGCAGAGCAAAACATTACATGTAAACTTGTGCAACAGAGAAGTGCTGAGGTGGATGTTCCACTCTTTCCCTGCTACAACTACCCAAGTCCTATTCCCCCACCCCCAGTGTTTCTGCCTCATGAATGAAATAAGAAGTGAAAAATACTGCATGCTTTTGATTATTATCCCAGAGGCAGGGATGTTCTTAAGACAATGAGTAAACCAGCCTCCTTAATAACAACGTGGTCTGGCCCTCAGGCAACTCCTCCCCGTGCCTGGGATCACTGGGATCAGGTGTCCCAGTGCAACCCCCGTAGTGGAACCAGCTCCAGCCATTCTGTTGGCTAGGGCCCACTCCCAAGGCAGCTCTGACCTTCTCCCCTTAAAAACAGATTAACTTAACAAACTACAAAATAAACCAATAGGAAATATTGAAAACATGAAATGCATGTTAACATTTGCTGTTAGGGGACTTCCTTGGGTTTAGGAATTGAGCTCTTATGATGAAATCCCCTAACATGTTACTGGATAGTGACAGTATCTGCATTACTAAACTCTGGCTTTCTAAGATAAGGGAACAAGGGAGGCCTTTAGGTCGGATGTTCAGATCCTTAGTAGCACAGGCTCTCAACAATATCTTGATTACTGTTGAAAACACCCCTCCAACACAGACAGTGCCGGTAGAGGAATTTGCAGCTGGGTCCAAAACTTTGAAAGCACTGGGGACAGAGTAAGGGCTGGCGCTCACTGGGAGAGAACATAATTTTGTAGGCAGCTTCAACTCACTATGTAAGACTGCGAAAGACCCCTGTCTGAATGATCCTGAAGAGCTGTCTTCAAGTCAGTATACTAAGCCATAGGGACCAGTAGTCTGACCCGGTTATGAAGCTGCTGGCTCCCTGTATGTTCTGATGCTGGTTTTAGCTGGCTGGGCTAGGCTGAGGAACCTTTTTGCCCATTGCTGCAACCAGGAACATGGTCTAGATGGGAAGGTGTTTATGGCTTCCCTCAAATACATAGACATGGCTGTGGAGAACGGGAAAGCAATTCTTTTGGGGCAGAAAGCCCTTCTGACCTCTCCTGCTCCATTTTCCAGGTGTGAACATTGGAGGGGCAGGATCCTACATCTATGATAAGCCCCAAACTGAAGGGCAAGTGGCACCAGGCCCTATTGAGCACATATCCAAAGTTGAAGAAAAGAAAGCAAGCGCAGCACCCAAGGGACCCAGCAAAGGTGAGCATTGGGTCCCAGAAAAGGCAGCTGGCCCAGGAAGCAGGAGAAGGGCTGCTGCGAGGGCGTTGGGGTTGTGGCAGGCAACAGCCTAGGCACCTCTGCTTCTTCCATTCTCTGCTGAGCAATTGGGAGACTCTGTGGTTGGCTCATTTCATGATTTCTGAAAACTAGCTTGCTATCCATTTTTGTTGCTCCTTGCATACTCAGTGCTGTGTGTATGTTGCAGTTCTACAGAAATGGAGAAAATTTCCATACATTTTAGGTCCAGGCAACCTGAAAAGCCATGTTCCCTCATAAGAACCTGCCTGGGTTCTCAGATCTTTGGGGGAGGCCCTTGTCTCGGTCCCTCCCACCCTCATAGGCACACTGGGTGGTGAGGCAGGACAGGGCCTTTTTGGTGGTGGCTGCTCACAGACTTGGAACTTCCTTCCTAGAGAAGATAGACTGGTTCCCACTTTGTTGTTCTTCTGCTGACTGGTGAAGACTGTCTTGTTCCAACAGGCTTTGGAAACTGGCTGTTTAGAAGGAAAGGGTGGGTGCTGTGCTGTGCTGTTTTTTATTGTGAATATCTGTGTGTTTTAATGGTAGAGAGAGAAAGAGAAAAGTGACATTTCAAATTGCAAGGTACAAGAGGGTTTGTTTCTTTATTGCCTGGTGCAGTAGTTCAGTGCATTTGTCAAGTGATGCTCTGAGCTCCAAGCACGCATTGAAGCCTGCAGACAGCGGCAGGTAAGAACTGTCTTGTCTGGAAGCTGCCTGGCTTAAGGTGGGCAGAAACTGACAAGTGAGACATGATGTTCTCTCCCACCAATGAAGGCAACCTGTAGCACTTGAACCTTACGCCAATCAGGTTGAGCTTCTGCTGCCTCCTATGTTCTTTTTGCTGCATTAGCAGCACCAAAGTGACCTCCCTGCAGCACAGGCCTGGGCAGTGTGTCTGGAGGTCCAGGGATGCCCAGATGAGGGCTGCCCCCTCTCGGCCTCACTGGCTGACATGGTCCAGAGGAAAGCAGAGCAAGACATTTGGCACCAGCTTGGCTGCAAGAGTTGCCAGAAGGAGGCGTACAGTGTGCCATCTGACTATCTTAAGGACTCAACTCTGGATTTATTTAGGGTTTACTCCTTAGCCTTTTCTTCTCCCAAAGATACCCCACAAGGCAGCAGAGGGTTAGTATCAGAGTTTTCTGTCTCCTGGATGGGCTCCCTTTCCAGGGTGACAAGCCCCATCTGCCCCTCACTTATGTCCACAGCACAGGCAGAAACCGCCTTCTCTACCATTGGACCCACTCTTGTCCGCTTAGTCTGCCAGAGCCTGTATTTGGTTCCTTCACCTGGTTAAGCCGGGCAGTCAATATCGTTTCCTGGGGTGCGGCCGCTGTCACATGCTGGCAGCTTCTCAGAGCCGCTGGTGAGATTTCTCACTGTGTCAGCTATAGGAGAAGTGCTGAGAGCAGAGACACCCTTGTGCATTGACTTCCTAGACCTGACAAAGGCCTTTGACCTCATCAGCCAAAAATGACTCTTCACACAGCTCCACAAGAGAAGATGTCTACCTCAGTGCCACAAGATGATTGTGTCCTTCCAGGAGAATAGGTGTGGCGTTGTCCAGTATGATGGCTGCTCCTTGGATGCTGCATTCAGAGCTGGTTGGCTGAAGAGGATCAAGGTCTGTCAGATCCAGTTCTTGAGGTTGGAGCTGAGCATTTTGGAGAATTCATGCCTTCCCATTTGTGTTTCAGCTACCAGCATTACCACCTTCACTGGGGAGCCAAACATCTGCCCACGCTGCTCTAAGAAGGTCTACTTTGGTGAGTATTGGCCTGTCCTGCAACTGCCCCACCTTGGCTTCGGAAATACAGTGAAATGTTGCAGCTGGATGAAACCAGTGTCACCAAGCCAGAAATGGTCATGGCCTGGAATGGCAGATAACATTTGATTTTTCAAAAAAGGAATATATCATCTCTAGCAGACAAGCAAGCTCCGATAAGAAGTAATTGACTCTCTGGCAGTTCTATGTAGGTATATTTACAAAAAGACACATCCAGAGCCCAGCTTCTCGCCTGCTCACATTTACGTTTGTTGGTCAGTCTGAAATCTCGCCCCTCCCACAACAGGAAGGACACCAGACTCCTGCCTTTCCCCTCTTGCTCTTCCGTTGCCTTCTGATTTTATCCAAACGCCTGGATTGAGGACTGAGAGGCTGACCTCCCCCCTCCTGCTCACTCTCACTCAACCCAGACTCAGACCTCTGCTTATCTGCTGATTGCCTAGCAACGCTTTGACTGCTTTCCAACTCTTCCTCTCCTTAAGAGCTAATAGAGTCTTCTCCAAAAAGGGGGGTTGAACTGCCCTTTCTTGATTCTGACAGGCAGTTCTCTGCAAAGTTGGTCCCTAGTTCAATCTCTGAGTCTAACTCATCCCCTGCACTCTGGGGGGCTATGTTCCTGATATCCTGATTTCATAGTAGGGAGTGGGTTTGTGTGTGCTGGTGGCTAAAGAAACAAAGGATTTAAGGGTCATTCCAGTCTGCTAATACTCCAATCTGTAAGGGTACACACCAAGTTCTACCTTGGGCTATAGAGTTGTGCCAGAGCAAAGAATGGCCAAATGGAGCAAGTTCCACCAGGTCTGTTCTTGGAAGTTTTTGGCAGAGTCCAGTGACTGGCTACAATTTCTAGATTTATACTTAAGTAGCATGCTCACTCTGTTAGAAAAGTGGGGCAATTTCTAATGCGACTATTGATGTGCATAAGGGGATGGAATTCCTGCTGACCCTTGTACACAGGACTGAACGGAACAAAGTAACAAGGATTCTGCACCTAGAAAAGTTGAATTCTGTGCCCTATATAAATCATAAAGATTTGCATTGCTGTATGCAGTATCTATTCTGCTTCTGCGAGGGGCAAGAAGCTATGAAGAGCACTGTGGCCTCATCTCTCAGTCCATGGAACTGAGCCTCCTTCTAGCTTTGGGGATTTTGCCCTAAATGTGCAAGCCTTTCATTTCACCCAGACTGGGTGGAAACTTGCTTTAAAGGAAAAGGGGAGCTGAGATTCTGATGACGCTGAATTGTGGCCAGAATGTTGCATTGAGATTCTTGTGTCAAACCCTTCCGGCACTGCTTTGGATGTGGTTTGTCTGATCTCTGGAGGATTTTTTTGTCTGATGGTTTTCTGTGAGGCACAAGTGGCATAAGTTGCCATGAGGACAGATTGACTTGCAAATCCGCATGCCACTTCTTGTCTGTTCTAGCTGAGAAGGTGACTTCACTGGGCAAGGACTGGCACCGCCCCTGCCTGCGCTGTGAGCGCTGTGGAAAGACTCTGATCCCCGGAGGCCACGCTGAGGTAAGGCTTGGGTGCAAACGCTGCATTCTAACACAGGTGTCTCCGGGTTGGGCAGATATTTTGCACATTTAAAAGACATGTAGTGCTTGATAAAATTGTCACAAAGTGAATATTCACAATTTTTGTATGATTTTTTTCTGAATGGCTTTCTCCTTATCTAAAACACTGCCCCCCCACCGCACATCAATCCAATAGAATCTCTCTCTATGTGCATTTTCTTATGGAGATTTTCCTACTCTAAGGGATAGGTGTTGTTTTCAATTCACAAAAGGTTATACACTACAAATTTCAAACCACTCACCATAATAGCAACACAGTCACTAGAAATGCATTGTTGGGGTCATGGTTTTAGTAAAAACACAGAAGCATTTGCCTGTGAGAATGCCACCAGAAGTTTGGGAAATGGCTTACAACCTGAGGATTGGGTTAATGACATGCTTTGAGATAAGCAGGTACACACAAAATGTATCCTGGAGTGATCTATGGTTTTGAGCAACTTCACATGTGCACTTCCAAAATATCATGGTTGTGAAAGCCCTCTGAGAATCGGTAAAAACCATTAGCAAGAAATGCTTGTTACATAAAGATAATGAGGAAGAGGCTCTGATTAACTGACTTTTACCAGTGGCAGGTTAATGTGGCATGGGTTTATTCCAAACTTAGTTGTGAAGAGCTTACACAGTATGTATCGGTCCAGTTTAGAGAGGGGTTTTGCTCACCTTTCAGAAAAGGTCCACTCCATCTCCTCTGACTTTGGAGTCATCCTGCCTTAATGACTGTGACTTCTCATAGTGCACTTCTAGTCCCTGTGACCTGCACAGAGCATAGTCCTTTGTCTGCTCTGGAATATTAAACACTCCCTCCTGTTTTAGGTTCTCTTCAGCCACTTCATACAGTTGTTGTGGATTCCCAGCATACACTTCCAGAGCCAGATAACATTTATATGTTCTTCATGTGTGTAAAGTGCTTTTTTGACATAGCATTTCATCTTCTAGAAGGAAAAATGCAATGTGAGAACTGTCAGAAGTTATAAACCTAGAGGCAGATTGAACCTTGTATGTTTAGCTGCCTGTTTGTTAACTGATACAGCAATTTGATGATGAGCCCTGCTTTGTAGCCAGAAATCCTGGCTGCAGCTCTTCCCCTATGAACTCAAGTTGGTTTTGGCATGCACGGCTTCCTCTGCTACTGCTCTGAAAAGCAAACAAGCTGCATTCTTCTGTGTCCAAAGAGCAGCTGTATGTATGCAAAAGGAACAAGCAAAGAAGGGCCCAGGTGCCCCACAGCATCTGAGACGTTGACCTGGGGGTCTCTCGGGGTTTGGCTTTGTCCCCTTTGCTATTTACCATTTATTTGAAACTGCTGGGAGAGTTTGGGAGTTTGGTATCTCCGGTATGCTGATGACACCCAGCTCTATTTCTCCTTTTTCAGCTTTCCAAGGAAGTGTCTTGGTTCTAAACTGGTGTCTGTCATCAGTAATGGACTGGATGAGGGTGAACAAATTGAAACTTAATCCAGACAAGACAGAGGTGCTCTTGGTCACTGTGAAGGCAGAACAGACAATAGGAACCCTGTGCTGGATGGGGCCGCCCCCCCTGAAAACACCAGTTTGCATTTTGTGTGTGCTCCTGGACTCAGCCCTGAGTGTGGAAGCCCAGGTCTCTGAGGTGGCTGGAAGTGCAGTGGCAGAGTTAGTTGCCAGGTGTGCCTCTTTGTGGAGATCTTGGCTTGGGCCACTGTGATACACGACGTAGTTAGATCCTGTTTGGGTTCTTGTAATGAGTTTCACGTGAAAATGAGTTCCTATGAAAACGGTTCAGAAGCTCCAACTGGAGCTGCCTGTTTTAAAGGAAAGGACTGCGATTTTTGAAAAATTGTAATTATCTGTATGTTAATTACCCCCCCCCCCCGGTGTTTTTAGCTGTTTCTGTTTTATCTGTATGTCTCCTTGAATTCATGTTAAGGAGAAAGGCAGAATATAAATACGGTAAATAGAATAGGAGGGGGAATTTGCAGTTCTGCACTGTTCCTAGTGGCTATACACACTGTACATTTAAATATCATTCTGTCTCCAAAGGATTCTGGGCAATGTAGTTTCCCCCTGACAGTTACCATTCCCAGCAATTCATAACAAACCACAGTACCTAGAATTGTTTGAAGGGGAAACGTGTTTCAAATGGGCTATAAAGGCATAATGTAGACACAGCCAGAGAGTTCCAGCTCTGGATGTGAAAGCTCCCATTTTGTTCAGGCACAGTATACCACTGCTTCATATTAATGGCTTTGGCCTATGAGATCTCAGACATGCAGAATCCTTGGGTACCAGCCACAACAGAGGCAGGTCCAAGCCTTTTGGGTTGCCCTTATCCTTAGGGACAAGGTCATTTCCAGGCAGGGAGATTCAGCATTTCACTATGATCAGTGCCACATGGGCCAAGTTGGATCCTTGGCCAGCATCTGCTTTTGGGAGGGGTCTTTGAGAAAGACCCCTGCCTCTCCCTTCCCCCAGCACTTCCACACATACCTGTTACTGGCCAGTAGGAAAGGCTCCTTGGTCATGCAATAGTTGGCCATCCAAATAAGCCTTCCAGTGGTGGAGAGACTAGTCTTATGGTTTACAGCAATGTATTTCTCTCCCATTTTCCTTCCCTCCAGCATGATGGACAGCCTTATTGCCACAAGCCATGCTATGGGATCCTCTTTGGACCAAAAGGTGAGTCTGATATTGGGACAGATGGATTTTCTAGAACTCGGTTGTTAAACAAGAGACAAGAAGGTTAGCAGGCCTGACAGAAACTGATGTAGTAAGAGATAATTAAAAGAAAATACAATGAGATGATGATGATGATGATGGTGATGATGATGATGATGATAATAATAATAATAATAATAGATACCAGTTTGATCTCAAACTTAAACATCATTGCCCACGTACATGGAGTATTTTTGAAGTTAGTCAGTGCTGTGCTATGTCCCCAAACAGAGAGAGGCTTTCTTTCTCACATGGGATGGCAGTTACAAGTCAGATCTGCGTACTCCTCTTGGTCCAAGTGGGAGGAGCAACACCATTTGAAGCAGAAAAGAAACTTAGCACAGAAAGTTGTGCATTCTGCTTTCCTCTTCTGCCTGCTGGGTGTTAACTGGGCCTCTCTGCTTTCAACCATCTTCCTCCATTGATGCTTCTGCTGTTTTTGCAGGTGTGAACACAGGTGCTGTCGGAAGTTACATCTATGATCAAGACTCTGAAGCAAAAGACCAGCCTTGAGAGCTTCTTCTCTTCATCTCCGCTTCCTGCTCAGCCCACTTCCACTCCGTTCTCTTAGACTAATCTCCGTGTGTGTTTAGATGTAGTGAAATCAACTCCTGGCTTGGCCCTGTCACAAGAGCGGATGACGTAGCTGTGCTTGCCCTGCTGTCTCCTCCCTGGGTCAGGCTGGCGTTCTATTCCCTCCTCTGTTTTTATAACAAAGGCTATGCTATAAAAGCACAGAGAGCCGCCTCTCTCCCCTGGGCCCTCCTTTCCTTTTCCCTTCATCCGTCAAGTGTGTCCTGGGCAATGGCCTGAGCTGTCCTCACGTGGCTGCTTGCGGTCACACAAACCAGGCTTTATTCCAGGGACGTTCTGCAGCCAACTATCGCTCCAGCTTAGTGTGGGTCATTTAATGGCTGCCTGCCTAGAGAGGGTAGGACAAGCTGAGCAAAGCAGGGGATTTGCTTCATTTTTTGAGCCATCTTCTTCTGGGGCTGCTGGTATAGCATCTCGATTCCAAACAGCCCCAGCTATCGTCTAGCAGGCGAAGACTCAGCCATCCTGGGAGCAAATGCAGCAGCTGGCTCCATCTGCCGGCTGACCTGGACTCCTGCATGCTTGGCCAGAGCTGTGTTGCTCCCACTTGAAATCTCATCTCTGGACGGAATCTGTGGGCTTGTGAGCCCAGGAGAGGGCTTTTGTCATGACTTGGGAGAGGAGGTGAAGGCCTTCGGAGACCCGTGTAGGCCATCTGCCAAAGGATGTATTTGTCCCTTTTTGGCTGATAAGTTTAAATGTGAGGGGTACATTGTGTCTGTTGCTGTAGGGGTGGGGAAGGAGGGGACTCTGGTTACTTGCAAAGTATCCCATTGTGGGTGTGCCTCCCTAAGTGTTTGAGGTTTATTCATAACTAGATAGTGATTTGCTTTTTGCTTTGGAGAATGGCTTGCCCTTTCCATAGCCTGGGATATTAGCCAAAGACACAGCCAGCACCAGCCGCGGGGGGTTGGGGGTCAGAGGCTGAATTAATCAAACCGCTTTGCAAAGCCTGCACTACCCAAACTGCAGACCACCTTCTTTATCCCAAACTGCCTCGTCTAACTTTTGCTGACAATAAAGGTATTTGGCAAACAGTTTGTGCAGTTCATTTGGAGCCTTTGTTTATGTGGAGAGGGAAGGGTTTTTCATGCTAACCTTGAAACTGTTTTTTGGCCTCAGAGGCACGGCTGGTGATGTTTTGTCCTGGCTCCCCTTCAACGGATGACAAAAAATGCAGTCTCATACCCAGAGACCCCTGAAGATTGCTATACACAAGGGCCTTTTCGTCTAAAAGTGTGAGGACAAAAAGTAGACTATAATTGGCTCATTTGATTCCTGGGAGGAAATAAAACACTAATCAAACGAACCCTTAACTCCTAAAGTGTTTACTGCAAACAAGAAAAATTATTTTTCCATAAAGCCATCTGAATTTTAAAAATGAAACTATCATAATAGTATATTTCCCCCATCAGAGGGAGCTAGAAGAGCTAAGAGAACCACACAAAGTAGCCTTTTTCTGGGACTCCCGCTAGGTGGTGGAAGGATGGCTGTTAGAAAGCAGACAATCAATCCATTACACATTACCTGTTCATTCCTACCTCTTGGTTAAAATATTAACCTAACAGAAACAAAAGGAATGCGGGGGGGGGGGGATCAACAGTTTATGGTATAAAACCATAAAGCTCCCCTTTAAAATAAAAATGTGGATTGGAAAATAAATACAATACAACAAAAGGTGTCTAAGAAAATCATGTCCTCCTTAAGAGTAATTTTTAAAAAAATAAATAAATTTTAAATTTAAAAATAAAATCAAAAGAGGGCTGGTTTAATCTTCCTCCTTACAAACAGAAATTTAGGGATGCCTCTCTCCAAAACACTGACACTGTATGGATAGCTCTCAAGTTGTTCGCAGGAGACAGAAAATGGGCACAAAGAAAAGACTATTGTAAAACCAACAAGGAGAATAGAATTCCAGAATACAATCCTAGAGATGGGGTGGTCGTACTCCCAAAGGATTATTTGTCCACTAGAGGCAGATGTAGACTTTCTGGGTCATCCACATTTCTTCACTCTGCTGCATAGACTTCATTTTTTAATAGAAGAAAAAGCAGCAGCTGCAGTCAAGACAGTCCAAACTGGCTGGAAGTCGGCAGAGACACCAGCTGAGAGCCTCCAGGAACGAGCCCTTTAGCTCTCGCTGTTCATCTTGGACTTGTCAGGTCGGGAAGCAGGGGCATGTTGGGAAGGAAGGGCAGAGGCACAGCCTCACTTGCAGTGACCTCATTCCAGTCATTCTTCCCCACCAAGCAAGCTTTTGCTCAGTTTGCTCCAGGGTAAGCCAGCATCTGACAGATTGTGGGACAAGCATCACATTGCAGTTGCAGGCAGCAGTTCCACAGGCAACCCCACTGCAATCATTCTCTCCAGTCACTGCCTTGGATAGACGGCAGGGGGGAGGCTAGCAGAGAGATCTAGTTGCTCTACTCCAGAAATGCCTTCCCACCCAACAGCCACTCAGTGACCCTCTCCCAGACAATCAATTCAGTATCCCACAGCCCATGTTACAGCCTGCAGTCCCACAGTGTATTCATTCTGTAGGTTACACTGGCATTTTAATCCTTGATAAAGTCCCAAATGGTCATGGTATTTGGGCAGGGCCAGCACAAGACATTTTGGCACCTGAAACGAACCCAAAATGGCACCCCTCTGCCCGCCAGGAAAAATCTACATCAGGAACAAGGGGAGAATAAAGATCTAGACTGGGGTCTGCTGCCCCTGTGGATCCTGCCATCTGAGGCAGTCGCCTCACCTTGCCTCACGAGTGGGCTGACTCTGCATGTATGAGAAGGTAGCAAGGCAATTTGAGTTACTGTTGCTGTGGGGAAAAGCAGAAAAGAGGCTGGCATTCAGCTGGCTAGCCGAATTCTCCTATGTCCCTCTGCCCATTAGATACTGCGAGACAAGCACCCTGCTCTCCTCAACTGTTATAAACTATAGAATTAGCAGTTTGACTAGAGCAAAGAACAGTCAAGCAGCAAACTCAACATGATGTGAAAATTAAAAGTGCAAATATCAGAGCCCCAGAAAAAAAATATTAAAACTATCCTCTTATAAGTTTACAGTGGAAAGACTCCCCTAAATTCCTGGATTTAGTGGGGAGCCTGCAGTTTAAACCAGTTTTTCTGTGTCCAGAAAACTGCCTGGCAGAACAACAAGATTTAATCACTAGATTGGCTCAGCCATTAACCCATTAAGCAGGCCGTTAATGGAGACTCACTTGCCAGACTGAAAATGAGGAAAGCCCCTCCCTGAGGGGAGTAAAAGGTAAAGGTACCCCTGCCCGTACGGGCCAGTCTTGACAGACTCTAGGGTTGTGCGCCCATCTCACTTAAGAGGCCAGGGGCCAGCGCTGTCCGCAGACATCGGCAAGCCCTAGGCACTGAGGCTTTTACCCACAGCGCAGCGCCACCCGCGTCTCCCTGAGGGGAGAGATGGAGACAAAAGCCCAGAATTTCAGGAGGGAGGGGCAGAACTGCAGTACAGGATGAGGTAAGTGGACAGGCGAAAGGCACAACTTTTGCAGGCTGCCTAGGTGGGGGTGGGGGTTGGCAGAGCATGAGGTGGGGAGGCTGTTTTATGCTGCAGAGTGCGCCAGACATGAGGTTTGGGGGTCTCTTGGAATGTGAGACTGCAGCAATGGGAGGAACAGGACACTTGGGATGTGAATGCTCTGCACTCTATCTAGAGACAGATGGGGGGGGCAGGTGCTAGTCAGCTGTGCTACGCCACTGCATCTAGACACATATAACCTGTGTGTGTAAATCAAACATAAATCATAAAGACACCAGACTCCTTGAGAGATCCAAAGGGTGGCAACATGAAAACGGGCCTTCTCTGCAGTGGCTCCCCATCTGTGGAATGCTCTCCCCAGGGAAGTTTGCCTGGCGCCTTCATTATACACCTTTAGGCGCCAGGCAAAAACATTCCTTTTTAACCAGGCCTTTGCTTGATAGATCAATAATAATAATAATAATAATAATAATAATAATATCTTTATTGTCATTGCCCCCTCTCGGGGACAACGAAATTACTTGGCTGCTCCATCCACCCAGGTAGGGCACTCCACACAAAATCAAATCAACTATAAAAACACTAATTAAAACAATACAGTATAAAACAGCAAGGAAGATTAGATGACTTTCAAAGTCCAGGCTTCCCATTCAGGGCCGAGATCGCTCTGGGGAAGAAGCTGTTCTTAAGACGGCTTGTTCTTGTCTTCATCGTCCTGTATCTCCGTCCCGACGGCAGGAGCTCAAAGAGACAGTGACCAGGATGTGATGGATCTTTTACTATGTCCAGTGCCTTCCTATGGCACCTTGTGGCATAAATCTGCTCTAAGGTGGAGAGTGGGCAGCCAACAATGCTCTCTGCTGCCTTAACAACTCTGCACAACCCCAACCTGTCCCGGGTAGTACAGCTTCCGTACCACACACATAAGCCATAAGTGAGCACGCTCTCAATGGCACAGTGATAGAAGGCAAGCAGCAGTTTCTGCGGAAGATGGTTTTTCCTTAGAATTCTCAACAAGTACAGTCTCTGCTGCGCCTTCTTCACAAGCCCCCTTGTGTTGACACTCCAGGACAGATCCTCTTGTAATTCAATGCCCAAAAATCTGAACGTTGTTACCCTCTCCACACAGACCCCATCAAGCAAAAGTGGCTGGACATTGCTCTTCTGTCTCCTGAAGTCCACCACAAGCTCCTTTGTCTTCCTTGTATTTATGAGCAAGTTGTTAGCTCTGCACCACTCTGTCAGCCGCTCCACCTCATCTCTATAGTCCGTTTCACCCTCCCTTTCAGAGATGAGCCCAATCACGGTTGTGTCATCTGCAAATTTGACAACCCTATTACTAGGGTAAGCAGCGACACAATCGTACGTGTAGAGAATATAAAGGAGCGGACTGAGTACGCATCCCTGTGGTGTTCCTGTGTTAGTCCTAAGCATACTAGAGGTATAAGGGCCTAACCGAACCCTCTGGGGGCGGTCTGACAAAAAGTCCAATATCCACGCACAAAGTGATAACGGAAGCCCCAGATCTTCCAGTTTAGACATCAGACGTTGTGGTAGAATGGTATTAAATGCCGAGCTGAAATCTAAAAAAAGCAGTCTGGCATAACCCCCCCGCTGCTCCAAATGTGCAAGAACGGCATGGAGGGCAATCGCCACAGCGTCCTCTGTCGATCTTTTCGTTTTATAAGCAAATTGGAATGTGTCCAGTCCCTCTGGTAGGCAGGCAATGACATAATTTCGTACCAGCTTTTCAAAGCACTTCATGATTATAGGTGTGAGTGCTACTGGACGAAAGTCATTCAGATCTTCCGGGTTAGATTTTTTTGCTATTGGAACGATAGTAGAGGACTTTAGGCATCCTGTACCCTTTAAAAGGTGGCTCTTTTGGGGGGGGGTTATTGAATTATTTTTATTTTTGATGTTATATATTGTGATTTTTATTGTGAACTGCCCTGAGACCTCCGGCTATAGGGCAGTATATAAAATCAATAAATGGATGAATGTTGAACCTCTTTGTCCAAAAGAATAACATTGCCTTTTTTGGTGCTGCACCATATTGTTGACTCATGTTAAGCCTGTGGTCCACTAAAATCTGTAGATCCTTTTCACATGAACTACTGGCCAGCCAGTTGTCTCCCGTCTTATATGCTTCCTAAGTGCAGAACCTGCCATTTGTCCCTATTGAAATTCCTGTTAGTTTTTGACCAGTTCTCCAATCTGTTAAGATCATCTTGAATCCTGATTCTGTCTTCTGCAGCACTAGCTACCCGTCCCAGATGGGTGTTATCTGCAGATTGAATGAGCATCCTCTCAATTCTTTCATCCATGTCATTTATAAACAAAAATGGGCCCAGGATAGAACCTTGCGGCTCTCCATGTGTCACTTTTTCCAAGGATGAAGAGGAACTGTTAGTGAGCATTAGTGGGTTTGATCAGTCAACCAGCTACAAATTCACCTAACAGTTACCTTGTCCAACCCAAATTTCAGCAGTCCCTTTATCATGAGGGACTTTACCAAAAGCCTTAGTGAAATCAAGACACACAGCATTCCCCTTACCTACAAAGCTTGTAACTCCATCAAAAAAAAAAGGAATGATATTCGTCTGGCATGACTTATTTTTGAGAAACCCATGCTGGGTCTTAGTAATCACAGCATCTTTTTCTAAGTGCTCACAGACCGACTGTTGAACTATCTGTTCTAAGACCTTTCCAGACACCAAAGTCAAGCTGACTGGTTGGTAGTTACCTAGGTCTCCCCGCCTCCACCCTGCTTTTGAAGATAGGGACATTGTCTGCCTCCAGTCTACAGGGACCTCACTTGTCCTAAAATTCTCAAAGGTTATTGTCAGGGCTGCCAGTTATAGACAGAGGTTCTGAGATTCCATCTGCAAGCTTCTTTAGAACCCTTGCTTGCAGCTCATCAGGCCCTGGAGATCTGAATTCCTTTAAAGTAGCACCTCTTTTCCTTTCTTGGGCTGCAGCTCCCTCCTTACACCTTTTATTCTCTTATCACCAGGTTGGGCATTGCTTTCCTTTGGAGTGAAGGCAGAGGCAACACAGGTGTTGAGCAGTTCCATCTTCTCTCTGTCACCCAATAGCATTTAAAACATAAACAGTTGTAAAAAATATCTGCACATTCACAAAAAAATGGAATGCAATCATTGAAAAATACACAAAAGAACCCCCTCAATTAAAAAAAGTTTGTTTCTTTGTTGTTTTGTTGTCCATTCACTCAGTTAGAAGAGCTTTTAATAGTTCATATGAGTTTTTACCATCCTAAATAAGTTGGTGTCATTTGCAAACCTACACAGTTCATATGACAGCATTATGGGGAATAACTTGGTGAATGTTGATTGTGGTGGAGGTGGGAGTTACCTGTTTGCTGTGGGAGTTACCAGTACCTGTTGCCATGTAGCTTTTGTTTCCAGTGACATTGTTTTTCTTTCTGCTTTGCTTCTGGGAGAGCTTAGGATCACAACAACCTCATGCTCACGCTGTGATTGCATAAAAGACCAGAAACAGACTCCAAACAAAAGGTTGGTTGCTGCACAGCCTCTAATACTCAAGCAAGAAATTTGAGTTTCAGCTTTCAAATACTGGCAGATACAGCCTACATGTCACCCGTGCAACATTTAGTTATGTATTTTATAAATATATGTGTATACTGCAAAAAACAAAGCTGTTTACAAGAATAATACCATAAAACCTACAGAGAAATTAAAACAGATCACTGATTAGTTCATCAGTAAAATCCAGGCCGATTCCCTTCCATCTGGCTTTTGAATCTTCCTTTCCTGAATAGTTTTCTTCGCCTTTATCAAAGGAGTAGGGAGTGCATGTCAAAATTAAGACAGGACTAGTCAATCGAGGACTCCCCCAGTGCTTTTGACTGTATCCACTATGGGGGGCTAACAAAAGATAAGGCGTTCCCAAGAACCAGCAGATGTACTTCTGGAATGCTGCTTCGTGTACAAGGAATCCTGATTCTGTGCTGCACTTAACTGTCTGACAAGCCAGTCTGCTAAGGGAATTTTGCTTTGATGGCCAGCAGAAAGTAACACAGTTGCTCACGAAGTTAAACTCAAACTCTGAATTTTACCTGGGTAGAAACAAAAAATAAAAAAATGTCCAGTAGCACCTTAGAGACCAACTAAGTTTGTTCTGGGTATAAACTTTCATGTGCATTGTATAATTGCTCTGTTCAGGGGCACCAACTACTGGGGACAGAGCCCTTTTTGCCCCTCCTCATGTCCAAAGAAATCAGTGGGTGGAGAAGGAGGGTCAGAGCAGCCCCTGACAGTGTGGCAGCAGCAGCAGCAGCAAGAGGAGGAGGAACAGCTGCCAGCCATTGAAACCACGCTGCCACCGCTGCATTCAGCTCTGCCCAATATCCTGACATCACGTGAGACGTTGCCCCCGCCATCGCCCTTTTGAGCTGGCGCCTCTGTCGCTGTTCAAGTGCTTTTCTAAAAGAAAAACAAAACTTAGTATGTGTGGGGAAAATAGAAACTTAGCTAGGGTTAAGAAATTAATTTAGCATCCCTGCCTCCTGTGGGAGCAAATTCCAGTTTTAACCCTGCACTGTGTGAAGAAGCCCTTTCTTTTATCTGCCCTGAATCTCTGAACATTCAGCTTCATTGGATGTCCATGAGTTCTACTGTTATAGAGAAAAATTCACTATCCACTTTCTCCATGCCATGCATACTTGTATAAACTTCTATCATGTCACTTCTTGGGCACCTTTTATCTATACTAAAAAGTCCCAAATGCTGCGAACGAACTTCATAGGGGAGCTGCTCCCTTGATGATTTTCATTGCCCTTTTCTGAACACTTTCCAACTCCTACAATGCCCCTTTTTAGGGGAGTTAACCAGAACTGTGCACAGGAAGCCTTGCCTGGATCCAAAGAAGTTTAATACCGTGTAATATGTGGTCGTGTTTTATTGCCCTACGTGAAGACAGATGGGTGGGGCCTCCTGATCTCAGCCATTGTTTTGGATTGAGCTTGGCTATGTGGAGCAGAGAGTTGACTGGCCAGAGAGCAGGAGACTGAAAGAAAAGTATCCAAGGCTCTCTCTGCAATAACATGTGGAAGGATGCATGGTACAGGAAAGGAAGAATATAGCTTTGAGGTTTTGGGACGAACTTTTTGTTTCCATAAAAATGCTTGCCATTTCACTTGATACAGCTGAGCCCTGACTGCTCTAACGAACCCGTCTCCATGGGATAAATGCCCCACATGCAGACACTGCCTTCACCATAGGTGTGTGCAGCGGGGGGCGGGGGCGGGGGGCGGCACACAGTAATTAAAAAAAAAAGGATCTAGGGAAGCAGAGAGGTGCAGACAGAATAAAAAGGATGCTGAGGAACTCCCTCGTCCACAAGGCATAGATCCATTCCAGCTTTTTTCTTCTGCCTCAGTCTGTTTCTATTTCATGGCTGTGTCTTCCACTGAGCTCCTCTGGCCATCCTCTGTGGGGATGAGGGGCTACTACTTTGTGGTGTGCAACCAAAGAGGAACAGTCATTCTGCCACCAGCCTTTCAGATTTGCTCTGCCTCTGGCCAACTTGGCACAAGTATTTTTCTCTGCAGGAAAAATCTCCTGTTTTGACTTCCCAACAACTCTTGGTTGTTTGCTAACTTTTTGTCTCTTTACCTCTTCCTTGTCCTTATTTGTTTATCTTGCTATTTTCTCCCTTCTCTCATTGACATAAATCAATCCATGGGTGCACACCTCAACAAAATTTGATGGGCCGCATGTATGATACACAAACAGAACACAAGATCCTGTCATTCATCTCATGACAGCATGTCTACTTTAGCCCTCATCAGGCTGCTGGGAGGGGAGAAAATAGTTCAGCTGGTGGTGACTGTATATAAAGATGTATGTAATACTAGTGGTAAGGTTTAGGGGACGCGGGTGGCGCTGTGGGTAAAAGCCTCAGCGCCTAGGGCTTGCCGATCGAAAGGTCGGCGGTTCGAATCCCCGTGGCAGGGTACGCTCCCGCTGCTCGGTCCCAGCGCCTGCCAACCTAGCAGTTCGAAAGCACCCCTGGGTGCAAGTAGATAAATAGGGACCGCTTACCAGTGGGAAGGTAAACGGCGTTCCGTGTGCTGCGCTGGCTCGCCAGATGCAGCTTTGTCACGCTGGCCACGTGACCCGGAAGTGTCTCCGGACAGCGCTGGTCCCCGGCCTCTTGAGTGAGATGGGCGCACAACCCCAGAGTCTGTCAAGACTGGCCCGTACGGGCAGGGGTACCTTTACCTTTAAGGTTGAGCAGAGCCTGTGTCCATCAGATTGAGGGCAACCAGCTGCCCCCGCAGGATGCTTCATGGGAGCCAAGCAGCTATTATGGGAAGGAACTCCAACACTCAAAGGACGAAGCTCTAACTTTTCTTTTTGTGGAGACAAGGTAAGACAAAAATGCTGAGCTGAAGTTACAGGAATTCCACCCAAAATCTGTTTTATGCTGGGTTACTTCAGCATGTAAGAACAACCAGCAGTGTAGCTGTTCTATTAACATACATCTGGCAATGGAGGCAAGAGTCCCACTCTCCTTCCTTAGCCTCAACTTGTTCCTGTGCCAGTCAATGACATGTTACTGATTCAGACAGAAGGGTTCAAAGGAGAGCAATAATGCTCTGATTCAGATGAGATAGGGAAGTGCTGAATCAGTGCTTGAGCACATTAATGCACTGAATGACAGCCAATAAAGTGAAACTCAATTCAGGCAAGATGGGTTCATGCGCTCAGGTTGGTAGTCCAGCCAGTGTTGGATGGAGCTGTACCCCCTTAAAGGAGCAAGTTCACCATCGGGTGCGTGTGTATACCTAGACCCAGGTATGTCACTAGGGGTGCATAGGGACTCTGGACATAGAATGCCTTCCATCAGCTTGCCACTGGGGAATTGCCCTATTCAGTGGTACAGCAGCTGCTCAGCATGCAGAAGGTTCCAGGTTCAGTCCCCCATGGCATCTTCAGGTCGGGCTGGTGGGAGAGAACCCTGCCTCCAATCCTGGAGAGCTGCTGCCGGTCAGTGTGAACAACACTGAGCTAGATGGACTGATAAGCTGACGTGGGATAAAACAGCTCCTGTCTTTCTGTATTCATTACTGGTCAGAGAGAGAGCTTACCCCATATCTCCATCTCTGGTAATCGCTAAGGGGCCGCCTTTGGAAACAACTGAATTCTAACTACCTGGGAATGTATTTCCGTTAAACGACTACACTGGTTGGTACCCAGGTCATTTCTGAGCCCGCCGAGTTCAACAGGCTGCTGCGAACTTGGAGGAGCTTCGCTTGCGTTTAAGCCAAGGGCCGTCGGCTTCGGGCGGGACGCTTCCTCGCGGCAGGAAAGGGCGAGGCGTCGCTGGCGGAGCTTCGAGGGTGCGGCCCAGGCGGGCGGGGCCGGAGGCGCCCAGGCCAGGCAGGATCCTCTCCGCCAGCAGCGAGCAGCCAGTGCAAGGGCGCTCCGCTGCCTCCGTCGGGGAGACCGAGTGCTCGACGCCGCCGCCGCCGCCGCCGCCATGCCCAAGTGCCCCAAGTGCCAGAAGGAGGTGTACTTCGGTAAGACTGGCCGTCGGGGCGCCTAGACGGGGGTGGCGGGAGGCTCGCTTGCCCTGGATCGGGGGCGCGTCTCTGCTTGGGGGACCCGCCGCTTGCCGCGCGGGCGAGGCTGGGCCAAGAGGGAGGGTCGCTTGGGCCGAGCTGCGGGCGCAGCGGAGGCGGGAGGGTCGGGACGGGCTGGGCAACCCGGCTTCCCCGGGGAGAAACGGAGGTCCAGTTGCAGGACCTGGACAGCTCTGTCCCGATTTGCGGGAGCCGAGCAGCCTCGGAGCCCGCGCTCCCGGGGATTCCTCGACGCCGAGAACAGTGATGGCGACACGGAGATCCGCAGGCTCGGGCTCTTTGCGACGACGACGTGGGCTGCTCCGCGGTGTGGCGAAGGCACAGAAGAGCCAAGTTCGACGGCTGTGTTGTCAAGGAATCTGCTCCCGACAGGCCCAATAAAATAGCGCTAAGTTGGGCGGGGGACACACACAATAGGATAGAGGAAAATGAGTAGGAAGGAACCTGGAGAAAACAAGATGAGAGGATGGGGACTTCCAGACACAAGTTGCCATGTTGATGCAGCAGGTCTGGTCCGGCATGGATGATGCAATGGTACCAGATGAGGAAATATAATAGACCCTAGGAGGAATCTTCAGTTAAGACCAGGGGGCCATGGTTGCTTGGGCACCCACAAAGTCGAGGAGAAAGGCCGGCAGGCTGCGAGAGAGGCAGTTCAGCTTCGCCCTCTGCATCCAGCCAGGGAGGCGGCCTTTGGGGAGCCTGGACATAGAGGCAGAGTCTGCGCCCGAGCCCCTCCCTGGGTGGCGTGGCACGTCCTGAGGGTGAGTTGGCACCCCGATATTAAGTATCGCTCTGGACAAGTAAAGAAGATAGGCAAACATTTTACAGAGGGGAGTCACATGTAATAAGCATGTATAACAATTTGGCCTCAATATGAACTGTTCTTATTCCTCAAACCCTCCCCATTGACTTCGCTACTAGAAGATATGAACAGTTCAATCTAAAAGGACAATTGGGAAATTTCCAGATATGGAAAGAAAATAAATAGAAAATCTTTCAAGATTGGAAAGATTTCCAGACCATTGAACAAGTATAAGCAAAACTGAAGGTAGACCCACTCAGTATTTGCAAATTGGGACTTTTCCGAACAGGCTGACAATTAGGAAATTTGGAAGGAGAAGAATGAGTCAAACAAACTGAAAGATATCTCAAATGTTCTCCAAGATACTTAAATTATTATTTTTAAAAAATAGGTAAATAATCCATAATTATATGATGAAATTGAATTACAATACAAATAGAGAAATTCCAAGGGAATAATTTTGAAAACTAGTTGAACAAAAAAATCCAGTTTTTGTTTCAGAGGGGCTCTAATTTTTCAATTGCCATATCTTATAAATAAAATTACATAAAAATGGCAGTTCAGTGGTACTGGAGGGAAAAAATCTGTAAATCGGGAGAGGGAAAGAGTTGGATTTGACAGGAACCAAAAGGTGATTTTCCCCCCAAAAGGGGGGAAGCCTTGTAAGAAAGCAGTAATATTGGCAAATGGTAATAGAAATATTTAAGGAAATGTTTCACATACAAATATTTACGTAGCTGAATTTTACACACCGACAAAAGCATTAAAAACATAAAATACAGATTTTGCAAATACCAATCCATTGCAAGGATACTGATCGTAGAAACAACAGAACAGAGGACCAAAAACTGAACTAATCAGGAAAGTTTGGGGGGAATTAGAGATCATAGAACTAACTGTGATGATGTGTCATTACAAAACGATTAGAGAGGAAATGGCTAAGTGAGTTCTGACAGCCCCCAAAATAGAATTGGGTACAGTGGTACCTCAGGTTACATACACTTCAGTTACATACGCTTCAGGTTACAGACTCCGCTAACCCAGAAATAGTGCTTCAGGTTAATAACTTTGCTTCAGGATGAGAACAGAAATTGTGCTCCGGCGGCACGGCAGCAGCAGGAGGCCCCATTAGCTAAAGTGGTGCTTCAGGTTAAGAACAGTTTCAGGTTAATAACGGACCCCCGGAACGAATTAAGTACTTAACCCGAGGTACCCCTGTATAATGGATATAGGGCTGCCAATAACTTGGATTCATATGTTCATGTACAGATCAATATTTATGCGTATGTATGTTTATGATTGTGAATGATTTTGTAAAATATTCTTGCTTTTCGCACACACACACGTATTTAAAAAGGAACAATGTCTAAGTGATACATCAGTCATATAGAATGAACATACAGTCACAGCATATTGGTTTACACAGCTGGAAATACAAAACAGGCAGCCAGAACCATAAAAAGATTAAACAAATGAATCTTAAAAGCTAAAGAACACCAATTAAGCCTCCTTTTTTCAAATAGGGAAAAGGTGTACAGTATTTGTGTTACAAGTTTGTATGGGACCCAGAGAATTAGTGTTCAAGCATCATCTGAGGGAGTCTGGACTGCCAAGCAGACACTGTGTTCACCTCTAAGACGCGGTGATCAAATTCAGAGCTCCTGTGTACATTTGAGGACAAAATGTACAAATCCAACTATATGTGCAGTTATGTCTGATCTGCAGCAGAGCTCAGCCCTGGAGTCTTACAATATGGGAAGGGGAGCTCTGAGCATGTGCAGAGGCCAGGGCACACTTCCACAGGCAGCTTCCTCCTTAGATGAGTGAGGCTTCAAGTCAGATATGCATCCTGCCACTGCTGTATTTAGAAAAACCATAACACTTTGTTCATGTCACTTTTCTTTTCATGTAGTAGGTGCTGTTGAACAGGAAATGGTTAACAGGAAATGACTGCCTTTGACATTGATAGCTCCAGTTCATGGGGAAGTAGCTAGAAGTTTTCTGTAGACGGAGCTGGCTTGATGCCACTGACTTGAGTTGGCTCATATCACCTTTCATCCTGTGCTGCTTTTAGCATTTTCTTACCTATTTGCTTAAGGTGTTAATGCAGGGCCTGATCAACAGAAATCCAGCAATGTAGCTCTTGCTTCAAAATGTACTTGCAAAGCCCTTTAAATCTCCCAGCCCTTATAAATTGTAAACAGCAGTGGTTTAGCCTTTTAAAAAAACTTTATTTTTTGAAGTGTGTCCAGCAAAGTCTTCTCTTTCTGCATGCAGTGGATATTTGCCTGATTTTGTTGAGTTTTTCCTTTAATTTGTGGTTTGTGATCTGGAGACTTTTGCTCTTAGATTTCTAAATGACAAAGAGCAGGACCACAGTATTCCGAAGCAGCAAAGCTATTACACTGCTGCAAAAGGAAATGAACTTGCAGGAGCACCTCAAGGCATGTTTGAAATTGGGTAGTGCTTGGAACAATGGATGTAGTGCATCTTTAAGTGTGAACATAAAGCTAAACAATGTTGCTGTGAAAAATCTAAGCCTTGTCCCTTGGAAAATATTTGTGAGCTGCAGTAGTTGAAAGAGCCTTATTAAAATGACACCCTTTGTAAATAGGACTAGGAGGGGAAGCAGATAGATTGTACTGGGGGTGGTTGAAATCTATGTGTTTGACTGAGCTGATGTGGCAAGTGAGTTCAAATGATGCGGCAGGAGAGGCTGTCAGCCTGCAGTCCCTCAGAAGCTGAACAAGTAGGTGATCTATTTGGACAAACGTGTCACAGCAAATTCCCAAGTTCTTGGTTTGGGGCTTGCAGCATTCAAAATTTGCCAGGCGCCAAGCACATTTTGCACCTGGCTTTCGGCCACTTGCAACCAGGTGAAGATGCCATGATGGCGCCTGATGTCTCCCCCAACTGGAGGTGCATGTCTGGAGATCCTTGGATCTTGACTGTTTTCACACACCAGCAACACATCCTGTAGAATTCTATCTGTACTATTTTATCTGCACAATTAGAATGAATTTCAGGAACTGAAAGTTGTATGGAAAAATATGGCTTTCGAGACGTCTGCCCCCTAAATGGCAACTAGCCATTCCATTTTGGTGACTGTAACCCTGGTGTAAGGAGCCACTAACACTGAGTGCTTGTATAATGGGCTCTCACTTGTGGGGTGCCTCAGGGCTCTGTCCTCTCCCCCATGCTTTTTAACATCTACATGAAGCCGCTGGGAGAGGGGGTTTGGGCTGGGTGTTCATCAGTATGCAAATGATACCCAGCTCTATTGCTCTTTCAAATTGGAACCAGTGAAGGCGGTGAAGTTCCTGTGTGTCTGGAGGCAGTTGGAGGATGGATGGCGGATAACGGATTGAGGTTGAATCCTGACAAAACAGAAGTACTGTTTTTGGGTGATGGGGCGAGCAGGTGTGGGGGACTCCCTGGTCCTGAATGTGGTAACTGTGCACCTGAAGGACCAGGTGCGCAGCCTGGGAGTCATTTTGGACTCACAGCTGTCCATGGAGGCACAGGTCAATTCTGTGTCCAGGGCAGCTGTCTACCAGCTCCATCTGGTACGCAGGCTGAGACCCTACCTGCCTGCGGATTGTCTTGCCACAGTGGTGCATGCTCTAGTTATCTCCCGCTTGGACTACTGCAATGCGCTCTATGTGGGGCTACCTTTGAAGGTGACCCAGAAACTGCAATTAATCCAGAATGCGGCAGCTAGACTGGTGACTGGGAGTGGCCGCTGGGACCACATAACACCAGTCCTGAGAGATCTGCATTGGCTCCCAGTACGTTTCCGAGCACAATTCAAAGTGTTGCTGCTGCCCTTTAAAGCCCTAAACTGCCTTTTTATGTATGCAACAACAGCAGCAAGAATACTTATTGCAAAGTATTGGAAGACACAAGATTTACCCACACTGGAAGAGTGGCAGATGAAGGTGATGGACTATATGGAATTGGCGGAAATGACTGGCAGAATCCGAGACCAGGGAGAAGAGTTGGTGGAAGAAGATTGGAAGAAATTTAAAGACTATTTGCAGAAATACTGTAAAATTAATGAATGTTAAAATGATGTTGGATTGAAAATAAGTGGTATTTGTAATAAGGTTAACAAGAATATGCAAATATGGATTGATAATGGATGAAAATATATAGTTATAATAGGTTAAGATATAGAGTAAAGATAAATGAAAGAGGGTAAGGATTTGCTGAAATGATTTTGTAAATGGGAATACAAAAAGGGGAGGTGTGAGGAGGTCAAGGAAACAAGTAAATGAGCCTAAATATATAGAAAAATGGAATTATTTGTTCCTAGCTATTTGTTTTTTGTATTTTGTATCTTTTTTCTTCTTTTTTCTATGTTTGCTTTTTAGTTTGTTAATTTTTGTTTTAATTTTCTTTATTCTGTAAACCTATGTTTTTTGTAAAACGTTAATAAATATTCTTTTAAAAAAAAGCAGCCCTAAACTGCCTTGGTCCTGTATACCTGAAGGAGTGTCTCCACCCCCATCATTCAGCCCAGACACTGAGGTCCAGCTCCGAGGGCCTTCTGGTGGTTTTCTCACTGCGAGAAACGAAGTTACAGGGAACCAGGCAGAGGGCCTTCTCAGTAGTAGCACCCGCCCTTGGAACGCCCTCCTGTCAGATGTCAAGGGAATAAACAACTCTCTGACTTTTAGAAGACATCTGAAGGCAGCCCTGTTTAGGGAAGTTTTTAATATTTAATGCTGTATTGTTTTTAATACTTGATTGGAAACCGCCTAGAGTGGCTGGGGAAACTCAGCCAGATGGGCGGGGTATAAATAAATTATTATTATTATTATTATTATTATTATTATTATTATTATCATCATCATCATCATCATCATCATCATCATCACTATTTCTTGTTTGTGTCCCTGCCACGGTAGCTGAGAAAGTCACTTCCCTGGGAAAAGACTGGCATCGGCCATGCTTGAAGTGCGAAAAATGCAGCAAGACCCTGACTGCAGGTGGCCATGCGGAGGTAAGTCGAGGTTTGAGGTGGCTGCTTCTTGCCTGCATGACAAACTTCCAGGTGGAGCCTGTTTGCAGAGTAACTGCATATGTCCATGTGGCTTTTTTCTGACGTGATGCTTCTGAATAATTTGCTGCAAACATATGCATGTGCCTCTAAAGTGGGTTGAGCACCAGAAGCAGAATTGTGATGTGTGCTTGCTCTGACAGATTGTGCAGATAGCCTGCTAACTAAAGCCACTGGCTTCTTTGTCTTATTATTTATTACGTTTATATGCCATCTTTATCTCCCAAGGATATTGCAAGATACTTGCAGAATATCTATGTGAAATGGACTTTAGTCAATGATTTCTGGTCACCTGTTTCTTACTGTTTTTCACATGTCTCATTGGGGAGAACAATATATGATATCATCAATTATATTTATTTCTAAAAGCTACCTGTGCATGAAGATGTCCCCTTTTTAAAGTTCTACACAGGACCTATGGTTTACCCAATTTATTGGTGGGTTGTTGTTTCCCCCCAGTTAAATTATTGGGGTTCCCATTGTTTCCCTTGCACATACATGAGCAGGAGGAAAAGAGGATCACAAAAACATTTCTTTTGGCAGCTTATTAACTGGTCTCCCACCTTTCAGGAGTGAATGTATGCTCCCCCTCCCTCAAGTAGAAGAGGGAAATAATTCAGAAGTAACGCCGGATGACAGACAGCCTTATTGTTCAGATTAGTTGGCTGCAGGTCGTGTTTGTGCTGCCAGGGTGGCTGGTTTTCACACCACGGTAACCACCAGCTAACAAACAAATCCCTGGTTTGCAGTGACGTTTCTCATGTTCATTGAAGGAGCAAAGCATTGACTGCAATGATTTGCCACTTGGATTGCCCAACACTGTGTGCGGCCCCTCCTGATTATTACAGAGTTACAATTTACCGTATTTTTCGCACCATAGGACGCACTTTTTCCCTCCTAAAAAGCAAGGGAAAATGTGTGTGCGTCCTATGGAGCGAATGCAGGGGGGGAGGCAGGCGGGAAAAGCCCCCCAAGAGCCGCACACAAGCTCCGTGCGCTCTTGCGGGCTTTTCCACAGGAGGGAGAAGGGTCTGACTGGCCGCATCAGTCCCTTCTCCCACCTCCCAGGAAAGCCAGGAGAAGCCGCGATCTCTTTAAAGGAGTTGCGCGGCTTCTGCGGGCTTTTGCGAGAGGTGAGGGAATCCCCCCACCTCCCAGGTAAGCCAGAAGAAGCCGTGCAGCCCTTTTAAAGTGCGCGCGGCTTCTGCCGGTTTTGCGGGAGGTGGGGGAATTCCCCCACCTCCCAGAAAAGCCAGGAGAAGCCGCGCAGCCCCTTTAAAGAGCTCACGGCTTCTGCGGGCTTTTGCGAGAGGTGAGGGAATCCCCCCCCTCCCAGAAAAGCCAGGAAAGCCCTGCGCAGCGTCTCCCGGCAAGGGGAGGCTGCGCGCGGCTAAAGGGGAAGGCAAAACAGCGAGCGGGATCCATCCCGCTCGCTGCCTTGCCTTCTTCCATAGCTGCGCGCAACCCCTCCGCAAGGAGACGCTGCGCGCGGCTAAAGGGGAAGGCAAAACAGCGAGCGGGATCCATCCCGCTCACTGCCTTGCCTTCTTCCATAGCTGCGCGCAACCCCTCCGCAAGGAGACGCTGCGCGCGGCTAAAGGGGAAGGCAAAACAGCAAGCGGGATCCATCCCGCTCGCTGCCTTGCCTTCTTCCATAGCTGCGCGCAACCCCTCCGCAAGGAGACGCTGCGCGCGGCTAAAGGGGAAGGCAAAACAGCGAGCGGGATCCATCCCGCTCGCTGCCTTGCCTTCTTCCATAGCTGCGCGCAACCCCCCGCAAGGAGACGTTGCGCGCGGCTAAAGGGGAAGGCAAAACAGCGAGCGGGATCCATCCCGCTCGCTGCCTTGCCTTCTTCCATAGCTGCGCGCAACCCCCCGCAAGGAGACGCTGCGCGCGGCTAAAGGGGAAGGCAAAACAGCGAGCGGGATCCATCCCGCTCGCTGCCTTGCCTTCTTCCATAGCTGCGCGCAACCCCTCCGCAAGGAGACGCTGCGCGCGGCTAAAGGGGAAGGCAAAACAGCGAGTGGGATCCATCCCGCTCGCTGCCTTGCCTTCTTCCATAGCTGCGCGCAACCCCCCGCAAGGAGAGGCTGCACGGGGCTATGGCTTCTTTAGCCCTGCGCAGCGTCTCCCGGCAAGGAGAGGCTGCATGGGGCTAAAGGGGAAGCCAAAACTTGGCTTGCTGCATAGCTGCGCGCAACCCCTCCGGCAGGGAGAGGTTGTGCGCACCCTGTACGCTGCTCTTTGGGGCTGGGGGGGGAAATATTTTTTTCTTGATTTCCCCCCCTAAAAACTGGGTGCGCCCTATGGTCCGGTGCGCCCTATGGTGCGAAAAATACGGTATTTTCTTTAGTTTGACTTTGGGGGGTCCCATTACCAGCCATCCTGTTCCCTTCTCTCTGTGCAGAAGCTGAGCAGCAAAGGAAGAGGGTGGTGCAGCTGGAAAGTTGCTTTGCAGCACACCCAGCCCAGCAGCCTCTTTTGAGAGCAGGAAGAGGGGAGCGCATGGGGAAAGGGAGCTGGGGCTGCCTGGCGAGGGGCGGGGTGCCTGTTTGAATGGCTTGTGTGTTCTTCCTGAGTGGGTGCGGGTGTGTTGTGTTACCATGGTATCATTGTGAGAGTTTATTGTGAGCTGTGGAATGAGTGAGTTTGGGTTTCTTCCTGGGTGGGGGAACTGAAGGTTTCTCTGTCTCTCTGTGTGTTTTAAAGGGAGTCAGAGGACATATTGCTGGGTAGGTGGAGGAATGTGGAGTGGGAGTTTTTGGAGGGGTTGGTTTGGGGTTTTGGAAAGGAGAGACTCTTGTGGGGTTTGGGTTTGTCTGTTTGTGATGGGACTGTCACAATGGTTTGTCAAAATTGGCCACCCCTGCTTTGCCATTATTTGTGGACTCCACTCCTCTGGCAGGGCAAACAGAGCTGCAGGCAGCTGCTCTGAGCAGCAGGCCTGGCTTTTGCCCCAAGAGCAGACAGGCAAGCGAGGCTCTGCCTTCTTAGCCTCCAGCAGGAATTGGTTGGTCGCTCCTGGTCTGTCCCGCCTTCCATACATACTACAATCCTTCCATCAACTGTCCCGTCTTCCCTGCTTCCTCTGAGATGTTTGTATTCTCTCTGCAGCATGATGGGAAGCCTTATTGCAACCACCCTTGCTATGCTGCCTTGTTTGGACCAAAAGGTAAGATTCCTCCAGACAAGAACTTGTTGCTCCAAAGATTTCATCTTATGGAAATAGGATCACATGCCAGAATATCCCCGTGTATATTGGAGTCTCTCTGGCTCACAGGAGGCAGAACTCTCTCTGTGAAGTAGTTATAAACCGGATGCTGGCTGGGCTGCACATTAAGTGCCTCTGCTGTTTGCTGTTGTACATTAATGTGTGGCAGCCATATGGTGACAGACTTTACTGTCACATTTGAAGATTGCCTTGGAGCTTCCTAATCCAATTCCCACCCAATCACCTTTGCAACACGTCCGAGGCTCCATTTTCCATCTCTTCGCACCTTCTGTGCAGTTAGATGATTCTGAAGACCTGGGGAAACACTGGAAAAAACCAACATATTGTAAATGCTTACTGATATTTTTACGATTTCCATTCAGATAAAATGAGAGTATTTGGTCTGGTACAAAGTATGCAGCTATATTTTTAAACTATTTACAAAACTAGGGTGGGTCCCAACATTAAATGCTTTTATTAAAAAAAATAATGTAAGACAATCTACAGTATTAGAGAATAAATTCTTATACTGAACACTCAGATGCAATATATATTTCCGCACCAAGTCTATGAAACGAGCATACAGGTAAATTGCATGTGAATTCTTCTTGCCTTTTATATTCTAAGTTGTAAATGATACATTTTACATTGTTAAAACAGTAAAATAAGATTATTTGATATGCTTTTTTATTTGATATGTTTTTCTGAGAAACACCAGGAAGAATCTGTTTTTTTAATGGCTTCAACATTTCCTGTAATCTGACATAGCTGGTACCAATGGCAAAAGGGTGTGGACATAGCCCCAAATCTCCAAACTAGGATTTCTGCACCCATTCACAAGTGGGTCTGGGAGATGACCTTCAGTCTCTGTTTGAGAGGCTAATTGCCGCAGAAGAGCCAAATAGCCAAATGTACCCTTTGGAGGAGTATGTTGAAAGAACTGCCTTTCCATGTGGCAGGGATTGATGAAGCAAGCTGCTTGGTGATCATGGTCCACCAAACTAGAGATGTACTGTCCTTTCATTAAATTAATATGACTTTTCAGATCCCTGGATAACTATGGATGATGAACTAATCTTGTCCCTTGAGGGAAAAACCCCTTTTCTTTATATGTCTGGGAGGCTACAACAGAGGGAATTGTCATTATCTTTAAAAAGTCCTGGCCTAGGCCCATTCAGAGCCTCATCTTGGGTGGCTCTTTTCATGGCTAGATAACCAGGTGTGGAAAATGCCACTAGTATTGATTTGTCTGGTTTCCTTTCAGGGTTTGGCCGTGGAGGGGCTGAAAGCCACACCTTCAAATGAAGTTCAGGTAAATTCCTGTTATTAAAGCTTCTTCTTGATAGACCCAGGATTGCTTTTGTAGCCCTGATGGCTTAGATCCATTTTGCTCACAGTATTCTCTTTGCCTTCTTTTTAGGTCTGGAAGGATGGAATTGGCTGTGGATTCCAGCAGTTTCACAAATCATAATAGCCGCAATGTGCCTCCCCCCCACCCCAAACATGTAGTAAGCTAGCTTATTATGAAGGCTTTCAAAAGAAGCATCATGCTAGATAACTGGGAGATTTCCTGCTCTGTGTAAATGGAAAGATACTTTGAGGTGGAGACCAGAATCTTTTTTCCTAATTTTAACACCGAGTTTCTTGGAAATGAATTCCTGCCCAAAGCCTAGCCCTGCTTTTAGACTCTGCTGTCCATGATGATGATTGTGTCTCAGTAATAAAATATTGATTTGAAGAGGTTTGCTGCAGCTCATCTTTGGAAGCGGGGGAGGCGTGATGTGTTTGTATTTGCTGCCCTGGAGGCTCTTGATCAGACTCTTTGGAATCCCAGATGGAATGGATACTAGCCATTGCTGTGGGGATGTTTAGGATAATAGGTAAGGAAATATTTGTTAAGTATTATCCTTCACTCATGCTAGTGAGTGACGTAGCAGAGCAAATCCCCTCTATATTCACAGAAGCTGGCTGGTAGATTCGTTTGAATCTCTACAAAATGTCTAATCCAATCTCCCCTTTTCTCCCTCCTAAAATATAATAAAGACTCACAAGTCTGCATTTAAAAGTATAACAATAAGTTTACTTACAAGTTGTTCACAGTACACATCCTAGAAGGCAGGCTTTAAGCTTCAGGTTACAAACATATAACATGGCTTACATCCTTTGTGAGGATGGGCCTAAGTGCTAACAAAATGGATTAGACTTAATTATGAGTTGAATCGAACAGGAACAAACAGGGCAGAGCATGAGTCACACTCATAGGCTGAGTCACTTAGAGCAGGAACAGGAAGTTACGCACCCCCTGTCTCTGTCCACTCTAGGAAGTAAAGCATGTTGTAATTGACTGTACTGATGTAACACATCCCACAATTGCACCCATGGAAAATTCCATTCAGGCGCTGAAACTGATTAGTTGGTGACATCCATCATAGCCCAAAGTGATGCTCCACCCACCTCTGGCTGCTGTCTTGGCAGCCAATCAGCAAGAGGCTCCACCCCCTCTGACTACTGTCTTGGCAGCCAATCAGCAAGAGGCTTCAGACCCCTGGTGGAATTCTGAGAGACTGCATCAGGAGACCCTACTTTGGCTCTGCTGTCCCCCCTTGCCTGGGGGGAGAGGTAGAGAAGAAGAGGGGAGAGGGATGTTGGGGATAGACGGAGAGGGAAACACAGAAGACTCTCCTCACTTTCACAGTTATTTTTACATCTCTCCTCATAGAACTGGGGGACTCTCAAAAAAAGAAGGGAAGTTGTTGGTGCTGGTGGGGTTTTTTAGTAGGGAAGGGTGTTACCAAAAAAACCCCAAACCCACAGGAGGGGGCAAACTTACACTTCCGGGCACACACACCATCAAGCTACTTTGCTATTTTCTTGCATTTCTCAAACCCTATGTGTAGAATTAAGGAACTGTTACTGAACCTGGGGTGGATTTTGGGTTTTTTGGGGGGTGGGATGCTAAGCAGATAAAAAGCAGTAGCAAGCAGTCGTCATACAGATGCTACCTGAACAGATGCTACCTCAGATGCTACCTGAAAGGGGAAGGGCAAGGAAGACAGGGAAGGAATCACAGTTTAAATCCCCAGATACCTGCACATCAACAACAGACAAGGACAGCCACCTGGGAACCTCCTCACCCAAATCCGTTGTCAGGGATGCTGCAGCAAGCAAACAAAGGCAAACATCCTGCTTCCCCCAGATGTGCTTGTTATGTACTGAAGTTCTCACCCTGGGCCAGCAGGGGGGTACTGTAGATAGTTATGCAAATAAGGGATCGAAAGTGACGTTCAGTGATTGGATAGTTACAGAAAATGGTTACTGTTGCGTTCTAGTGGAGCTCTATATAAGCAGGCTGGCTGAGCCCTTCAGCTCAGTTCTGTTCTGGCCTGTGAATAAACAAGAGCTGTTTGAAGAATCGCTGTGTCGTCTGATATGTTCACCCACAACTCAACAGTGCTTGTGCTCTTCCTCGCCCTGAGCCCATGAGAGGACCCTTGGCATAAAGTGTGACAGAACTGGAGTGGGCAGAGGGAGAGACTGGGAATCTGGGAGGCAGCAAGCAGGAGGAGGAGGAGGAAGAGGACTCCGGGAAAGATGTCCAAGGCTCACTGTTTGACAACAAATGTCCTACAATGAAGATAGTCAACAGCGTCTTACACAAGCTACACATTCAAGGGGCTTCTCAAATATTCCTAAACCATGACACAATTTACTATGTTATTTACATTTAAGTACATTTATATGTATTTTACTTATAATTTACTAGTTTGCACTTTCTTTTTGAGGGGACACTTCTGCTGCAGAGGTTCTGTGTTATCGCTGCACTGAAAGAGCAATGTTTTGATCTGTAGTCACAAAATGACCCTTGAGAAACAACTAACCCTTCTCTTTGTACATGAGGCTCTAATATTTACAGAATAAGGTGACACCACTCTTGTTCTTTGAGCATCTGGGCTCCCCATCTCCTACTGCAGCAGCCATATACTTGGATTGTGGAAATTACTGTCTCTGCCAGAACCTTTATGTAGACTTGAACTTAAGCAATCCTACTGAAGGGAGGAAAGGAAAACCTAAATGGAACCTTTCAATTATTTTTAGAAGTAAGGGTCAAGGGCCACCCTTTCCTTTTGCCAGTTCTACTGCTGCTACAACTATAGCTCCTGCTAATCGTTAGGTGAATGTGCAACAAAGAGGATTACAAAGGCGTTGGCATTAAAATTCATTTGCCAGACTGCAAAGAGATAAATGTGACAAATGTCAGATCATGATAGGGTAGGAATAATATGCTTTCAAAAAAGCGTGGATAAAATATGCTGCCTTTATTGTGGTTCACTGCAGGAAATTTTAAAGTTACTGCTGCATAATTGGTTGTTTAAATGGTAAATCCATCTAACTAACAACTTGGTCACTTCAAACTCCCAAAGCAGAAAGTCAAAAGTGCATTTATCTGTTCTTAAGGGTATTTTTGTTCATGTTTGCTGCTGCAATAGGAAATGAAAAATAAAATAATAAAGGTGATACTTCCTTCTGACAGTGTGAGCTCCCACTTATTTTAAATGGGGTTTTTCCACTTCATTCCAACACCGAGATTGGTGTTTGGGTAATATTGGGTAAAATACAAATACATTGATATGATAAATTAATCTGTTACAAAGCAGGTGGCTGAGTATTCTTCAATAGATTGAGAAGCCTTAGATAACATGGGTGGTTTTTAAAAAGACTGAGGCCCCTGGTGAGTGAGGCTGGAAATATGGTGGACATCTGCTATTCTGTTCTCAGAAGAAAATTGCAGCTTCTTGCCAAAGAACCCAAACAGTCTCTTGTCGTAGCAAGCTTTTCCCAAGCAAATAATCTGACACCGAGAACATGAATAGGAAACTCTTGCTGTGCCATTTCAGAGGTTTGTGGAAATTCTGGTTGCTATAAACATTTAGTCATCAAAGCAAAAAACAATCTGTTACGCTGGGCGTGGGTGGAAATGGACAGATAATGAGTGGAATGAATCAAACAGGAAGTTGGCTGTCTTTGCAACAGATGCATAGTTGTAACAGCCTGAGACCAAGAAAAAGGGGGAGGTTATTTATACAATATCCAATTTATGCTGCTTTTGCCCATATCACTCCTCCTCCTCCTCCTCCTCTTCTTCTTCATACAACCCTTCAGCTGTAGATATCAATATAAAACCACAAAATACATAAGAACAACAACAAAATAATAATAATCCCCCTCCCACAACACATTTAAAAGTTCATCAAATGTCAATCAGCCAAAGACCTGCTTGAAGAGGAATGCTTTTGCCTGGCACCTAAAGGTGCCAGCTGAACCTCCCTGGGGAGAGCATTGCACAAATGGAATAACCACCCATACTCCATTTTTGGCATAGCAGAGGAAGGAGACAGAATCATAGAATTGGAAGGGACCTTGAGGGCCATCCAGTCCAACCCTCTGCAATGCAGGAATCTCAGCTAAAGCATCCCTGACAGATGCCCATCCAACATCTGCTTAGAAACCTCCAAGGAAGGAGAGCCCACAACCTCTCAATGGGAGACCATTCCATGTCAAACAACTCTGTTAGAAGGTTCTGCCTGATGTTCAGTCAGAATCTCTGTTTCTCCATAGATAATGTGATATCCAATATTTATGGTGTGGCTATAATTAATCACCACATAATTATCTCTGTTGACAGACTGTTGACAGGAGATGGCTAGATAGATAGAAAGGTGGGGGGGGGGGACACACACACCTTGGAGAAAACTTTTGGTCAGGGAGCCTGAATGTACAATGAGACTCCATAGCAGCCAACTGCTATGGCTTTGTTTAAGACACGGGGCTGGCCAGGACTGAGAAAGAGTGAGAGAGCCACTCCAAATTCCTATTCAGCCACTGGATGGCTTTGTTCAAGCCACTCTCTCTCCCGCGATATAAGGTTATAAAATACACTGTGCACTGAAAGATGAGATAGAAATCTATGGAGGCAGTCCCTATGCCTTCCTTATGCTCAAGAACTTTAACCTGAACCCCAAAGAAACAGGGGTCCTAAGAAAAGCTCAACAACTCTGACCTGAAACCCCCCCCCCAAAACAGGGCTTTTCCTCCTAAAAAAGTTCTATTTTGACCTGAACCCCAAAAACCAGGGCTTTCCTTCCTAAAAAAAGCTCAACAACTTTGACCTGAACCCCTCAAAAGGTGGTAGATCACTGATCATCTACCCACTACTCTGTGGGTAGATCGCAGTGTCCTGGGAGCTGACCATCCCTGATTTGGAATAACTGCCCTGTTTTGCATAGTGATGGCCGTCAGTCTGGGATGGTTTTAGACAGATTCCTGGCTCTGTCCTGCCTTTCCATGTTTGAGGCAGCAAATCCTTCTGATTGCATTGCTGGGAATCACAAGCGGGGCGAGTTGCTGCTGTTGCCCAGGGGTCCTGCTCGGGGGCTTCCTTTGGGGCACCTGGTTGGCCCCTGAGAGTACAGGATGTTGGACTAGAAGGGCCATGGGCTGGATCCTGCAGGTCTTTTCTTCGATTTTAATGTGTTTATAAGTTGCTCACCTTAAAGATTAGGATCTCCATCCCCAAGCATGGCAAGGGGTTCAACATATGCGAGTGGGGGGTGCCAGATCTTTGTCAAATGATTTTTAATTTGCACTCTGACCCTGAGTGTGTGAGCAGATCTTTCTTTGCTTTTCTCCTTTTCCCACTGAGGTGGCAGTTGTAGTTTCACTATCTGTCTCATCTTCACAGCAAACCTATAGTCTATTGACATTTAACACTTTCACCGCAGATTAACATTCAGCCTCTTTAGAGCACCCTTCAAGTGTTTAAGCAAACATATGCTATCCCAGTAACAACAGTCCTGAAGTTACAGTATTTTCACCTTTTTGCACACAGAGGCTGAGATATGGTGGCATCCTTGAAGAAACCTAGCAATGGTGTGTTTCATAGGTGACTCTGCTGTACTTGCATGCTTTTGGCATCACATATAAAAGTTGTCATTGTGGGAACAAATTCAGAAGGGGGGGGGGAATGAATGCACATCCCAGACAACACATATTTTATTTTCATGAATGTATCCTAGTTGCTACCCACATCTCTCAGAATTGAGGAAACAAGAGAATGGCTGAACCGTGGCTCTTCCCGGATCCAGATTTAACTTAGTACTCTGTGATGCAAGCTGCTGCCTGGAAAGACCACAAAGCTTCCCTTTGTGATCAAACACAAGGGGTACTCCAGATGAGGGTTTTAAACACTGCTACCCATTGTTCTCCAACTTCAAGCTACAGAGCTTTTTATGCATCCCCGTCACCTCAATTTTCACTCATTTTCTCCAGGGCAAAGAGTGGGAATTCCACATTTAAAGACTAATGTGGAAGTCCCCACTCTACTGGGCTCAACCAAGCAAAAACCTGTTTTCACTCACAAGATCACTCAAGTGATCTTGGCTCCTTCCTGCAACTGCAAGGAGAAAAGGTACCATGGCTAGTGAAGGGAGGAGGAACTGCTAAGTTGGCAGTGACCAGCTGATTTCAAGAATTTGTGGTCAAAGGTTGAGCAGCAACGCGGCCCACTTGCTCTCCTGAGAATATGGTGGCAGAGCCAGCCTCTTTGCTTGCTGCGCTGCAAGTAACATAATGGAAGAAACTCCTTTGGAGTTTCAGAAAGGAGGTTGAACAGCGACCTACCAGAGATGCTTTTATCCTGATCTCACTCCAAGAAGTTTCTTTAGGGTTTTGATGACCACTTTTTGCCAGTGACTGATTTTGCTTTTAGCTTTAGGCTCCCCGCCCTGCCTTCTCCGTGGACCAAGAATGAATTGCGTTTAAACATTGACATCTGCCTGCTATGGAAAGTCAGAAGCTGGCTGTTTTCAGAAGTTCACCTCAGACAAAGCACATTCCATTAATATTTTGGATTTCCTATTTATGAAAACAGGGCACATTAAGGGCAGTTATTTTTATTCTGACATTAAGGGGCCTGAGAAATGCCAATCATCATCATCATAAACATGCCATAAGACTTTAGATGATGGGAAAGCTGCTGTGAGAACTGAGGGAACATCAGAAGCCAGCTGAGCAGACCAAATTAGCAATGGAGATTCTCCCTAGTATTTTTTCTTTCTTTCCCCACAGTATCCTCCACAAGAAGTTAAGCCCATGAAGTCAGAGAAACTCCAAATGACTCTCCTACTGGCTGGCTGCTGCCTGCTCTTCGAACAGCTCCAGCTCAGCTTCAAGGTCTTTTGGTGCACAGCCATAGAGACCAGGGGCAAGTGTTGCAGAGACAAATGTCTGTAGGCTCCCATGGAAAGGAACGGCCTTTCCCATGTTCACTTCTACAGTCGTCTACAACTCAGTCGTGAGGGAGATGTCGGCAGTCCTGCCTCCTCTGCTTACAAGTGAAAGCTGACTGTGCTCCCTGAAGACAGGGAACAGGAAAAGAGTGTCCTCCAGTCTGCAAGTAGGATGACTTTGTGTTCCTCTTCTTCAGGGATGATACTCCCATGAGAGGGGCCTTCCCTCCCCCAGCCATCATGTTTCCACCTTTCCCTTTCCCACATATGGATATTCATTCAAAATATTTATACCCTGCTTTTCAGCCAGAAAAGCTCACAGGGCAGCTTAGAAAACAACAACAACAATCTGAACATGACAATCTAAAAGAAGAAATGACCACAAAAGGAAAAGAGGATTTGTAGGGAAGATGCAAACTAGCAAAATCTACTTGTTTAGAAATATACAGGGTTCACCAGCTTGGATGGAAACATATTGTTGCACGCCACCCCAATCTTTGTGCGGCAAGAGGTTCCTGCATTTCCTTGGTGTCCTGGAATGAAGGTCATCCCAAGATGGTGGTGTCTTTAGGATATATGGTTTTATTTACACATATGTCCATGAGACCGAAAGGTTCTTGCTTCCTCATCTGGTTTCCAGGAGAGCCCAAACTCAGCTTTGGATCCAACACCAAGCAAGACGTTGCTGTCTCTTCCAGCTTCCAGCATCAGCTCAGCTCTCATGCGCAACTCTGGCTATTGTTCTTCTACCTGGGGTCATGCGGTCGAGTGTGAGAAAAGTGCGGGAAATGCCTAAGCCACCCATTTAGAGAGCCACATTGACCTCATTCTTTGGGCTTCTGCTGATCAGCTAAAGCCATTGTGCCTTGATAAGGCAACTGGTTTGGCAGGCTTCCTCTTTTACACTCACAGTACATTTACAAAGAGGTAAATGCCCCATAAGGGAAAGAGTTGGCACCACCCAAAAGACATAAAAGGATCTCACAGATTCCCTTAAGCGGCAGCTCTACAGGGTCTCCTTTCTGCCCCTCTTCCAGGGCCTTTTCTTCTGTCGCCTTGGGGCTGGCTAAGGAATGTGCTAAGTGGACAGAACGTGCAGCTAACACTTTAGCTCAGAGTTTTCCAAATTTGTCATGCTTTTTAGACGTGCATCATTTCACAACACAGTAATTCAGTTTTATGAACTGGAGGTTATCCCTTTCTAGCCCCGGGAGGAAGCATGCACACGACACACTGCAGCCGACAGTTTGGAAAGCTCTGCTTTAGCCTCTCTACAGTGGTCCTCTGTAGGGAAGCAACTACCAAGCCTGCTGGGGAGGAGGCTGAACTGTCTTGAGGAAGCGGAGGTGGCTCAACTTCAGCCAAGGGTTGTTTGCTTCTGGGTTTTTTAGCTCTTACAGGCAAAAGCACGGAGGGTGTTAATAGCTGATGGAAGATGAAGTTCCTGTGGGTTACTTTCCTTTAGTTTAATTTCTGCCTTTTGAATGCTGGACTGTGGTTTTCTGAACATCTGGCATGTTTCCTCTCTGTGCGGGAGTTACAAAGTGAGTCTCTTCAGAGGGTTGGACTCGATGGCCCTTGTGGTCTCTTCCAACTCTTCTATGATTCCCAAACTTTCAACTTATCTGTGCCACCTCTCTTCTCCCTTAAGGGGCAAGATGTCTGGGGAGGAAACTAAGAAAGCTCCAGGACTGTTTCTGTGAAGAGGTGAGACATTTTTCTCCTCAGAAGAGGCAGGAGGGATATGGGAGTAGCCCCCCCCCCTTTCCCTTCTTCACCTGCTTGGAGGTGCTAGAATTCAGGATCAAAGCCTTTCTCTTTAGAGTTGTCTGCTTTGCCATGTGGCCCCTGGAGAGGAGGCAAAGGTCTTCCAGAGGCATTGTCCCTCTGGTGTAACAGATTCACAACATACCACGTTTGGCTTGCCACACCTGGCTTTCCGCTTGCATCTTTAGGGCAGGTATGGCCAAACTTGGCCCTCCTAATGTCTGGGACTACAACTCCCATCATCCCTAGCTAACAGGACCAGTGGTCAGGGATGATAGGAATTGTAGTCCCAAAACATCTGGAGGGCCAAGTTTGGCCAGGCCTGTCTTTAGGGTGTGTTGGCCACATGCCTTGTGCTATTTCTGCATTGCAAGTGGCTGGACTAGATGGTCCTTGGGGTCCCCCAACACTACAAGTCTAGATTCTGTTTTACAGGACAAGCACAAAGACCCCAGACTTACTGTTCCAAGGGCAATACTAGCTCTAAGAAGCAGAGCACGTCTTGCTCAGGCTGTAGGGAAGGAAGTCTGGCAAATACTCCTCAAAATGCCCCTTTCCCCTCTTACAGACTAAGGGAAAGGTCACCTGCAATCCACTTAGAATCCTAGAATTGTAGAGTTGGAAGGGACCCCAGGGGTCGTCTAGTCCAACCCCCTGCAAGGCAGGAATCTCAGCTGAAGCATCCATGGCTCAGTGGGGAAGCCAGAGAGGGAACCGCTGCTGCTGCTTTCCCACAATCTGTGAGGAAGGAACATGTGACAGATTTTGTTCCAGGTGGAGGTAGAGGCTCCCAACTTTGGGGAATTGAAGCTAGCTGATAACCCACTTTTTACAAAATGCTGCAGTGACATTGCTTCCTACATAAGTGGCATGGTTTGCCAGAGAGCTCCATCCCTCTTTAAAGCAGCCATGGCTCCTTCCCACCTGGGCACAGCTGATGGCCTCTGGGTTTAAGGCAGTTCCACCAGAGGCAGACTGCATTCACCATGTGAAACTGTCACATGTCACAATGCAGCTTGTCACCCCTGCCAGCCCCCCCCCTTGAATTTTGCATTTAAATCAAATAGCTATTAGGGACCCTATGGATCGCATGTCTGTGATGGGTGAACGGGGACGGCTAAACTCTGTGCATGTATATATGCCCACCCCTCCACCTCCACAGCACAGGTGTCCTTTGACGGCAAAGAGAGCTATTACCTCTTGCTCTATGCAATTAATACTGAAATAGCAGCTCTTTTATTTGCTCAGAAAACTGTGTACAAAAGTGCCAGATTAGAAAAGGTAGCAGATATATATGATCTACCTTCATTGTGGTAGTAGATGTCTAGTTACCTGACAGCTAAAATAGAGAGCTCGCAAGCAGATACGTTGTCACAGCCCCTCTAAATGGGAGCAGGTGGTTTTTGGCATGCACTGCTCCTAAAGTCAGAAAATTAGGCAAGAGGCAGAATGTGAGAACTGGTGGATAGGAACATTTTCTCCTATCTTCACCGTGAATTATTTCAAGGAGGCAGAGTAGAATAAGGGAATTCAAAGAAAGAGAGGGGCAGCAAGAGCGACACACACTCCAGCCCCCCTCCCCCCATGGCACACAGCACTTCAGTCGAGTGTTAGCTGGAATAAATGGATAAGACCAGGCCATTAGAACAATGTTTCCACGTTGCCCATCTCCACGCAGACAGTCTTCAGCTGAGAGTAATATTCTATTGCTGCTTCGCCATTCTCTCGGCCAAACCCTGCAAGAGAGAGGTCCATGGTAAGACTGCAACTCTATGGCTCCCTGTGAGAAGAACTCTGGAAAACTGCATGGAAGGAATTGCACCATGGAATGGAGAACATAGCATCTGATGCCACTATTTGCTCTTAAAAATATGTTTTTCCTTGTGAAGGTTTCAGAAGGAAGCTTGCTGGCAACTTACCTATGAGAATGCAAAGGACCCAAGGGAAGGGACTTCCTTACTTAGGTGTATGTACAGGTGAACCTAAAATCTGGAGTTAGCATGTGCATGTCCTTTCTCACAGGGTGAGCACTGCAAACAACAGATGTATGTATCTCCAACTGTTTCAGGCAGGCTGTATGGCCAACACCCAGAACGACCTTAAGCCAGAGGAACTAAATGACATCAGGATTCTTGGCGAGCACCACATCCCTCTGGAAGGCTGCAGCTCTCTTGGTCCACAACCCAAGCTTGGCTAATATTTCCATTCCCTTTTGCCAACTGGTATGTAATATGCTGAGAACCAAAGCCCAGCACTGTTGCCACCAGCTGAGCAGCTCACCTGACATCTTGTATCCTCCGAAGGGCAGCTCCACAGGGCTGACGTTGTAGTTGTTGATGAAGCACATCCCCGCCTGGAGACCAGCCACGACTCGATGAGCCCGTTGGATGTCCCTAGGAAGCAGAAGGATGGGGTGAAGCACCAGTGTGCCTCCCAAGGCCCAGAAACCCTGCAGTGTCCCCTGGCCTTCCTATGGGACAGGCTAGAGTAGGCCAAATGCCACTAGGCACAGCTGTCACTTCGGAGGAATGCCAGCTGATGAGGATGACACACAATTCCAACTGAGCAAAGGCAGCAAGCATTTGCCATCATGCTCTGGGCCGATGTGCTGCTTCCCAACTTGCATCTTCCACAGATGCCACATTACAGAGCAGGCAGCCCCATTTACTGTCCAGTCTGGCCTGTTTCATTTTCCATCTCCCTTCCTGAAACCTATGCCCTTCCTTGATGGTACCTGGTAAAGACACCTCCTGCTAGGCCAAAACGAGTGTTGTTGGCTCTTTCTAGGACTTCCTCTTCGGTGTCAAAGGGCAGGATGGACATGACAGGTCCAAAAATCTCCTCTTGTACACATGTCATGTTGTCATTACAGTTTCCTGAGAGCAACACAGAAGTGATCAAATAATATTAAATAGGTATGCAACTGTTCTGAATGCACAAGTGAGGAAGAAACAGATTCTCCCACCCAGTTATTCTGCAGTTATGAAACAAATTGGGATTTCAGAACTACCTGCTTGTTGCTTTAGATCTGGACAAACTATCAGCCTATAAATCTATGCAAGTTTATTTGAAAATAAATCCCACTTTGTACAACAGGACTTGCTTCCAAGTAAAGTGTGGACAGGAGCTCAGTGCCTGACAACTGAATTATTTACTGCACCCTCAATACTCTAAATATGAAAGCTTCCTGCATAAATAAAACTACTATGTAAGGAGAAGAAATTACTTCTCTGCACAGGAGGTTATTTATAGTACAGAACATTCAAACATGTGGACCTTGAGTACCATCCCAAACGAATCATCTGATCATGTAGTTCAGATCATAGCATTAGGCGCCTGCAGAACAATGAAAGAGGCCACCATCCTTTCTCAACCTCAGGAAAGATTATATGGAAGCCAATTTCTTGAGATAAAAATGCCATACAAATCTGTGCACTGTGCTCATCTTCCATCCCCTTCAGCACCAACATGGACCATGTTGGAGAATCAACCAATAATGGGGTTCATACCTAGCACACAGGGAGACATGTAAAAGCCACCACTCAACTTAGGGTCATCTGGCACATAGGCTTCTCCTCCACACAGCACCACTGCGCCCTGTAAATGCAAAATGTCCAGAGCAAACCATTAGACTCCTTAAAAGGAAACTATGGGAAGCATCCAGTGAAGTTGTTGCGTTAGCCATGGGTTTCCGTTTGTGCAATGGAATTTCCCCTCTCCGTCTCTTTCCCTCTTGCCCCCCTCCTTACACAGCCTCCTCCAGAGGGTTGGGCAACTCCCAGAACAGATTTAGGGAGAGGAGGGGGAAGGGAAGGGACAGAAGTTGCTGCAATAACAGAACTACTTTGCTGGACAGTGCCCTCTATTTATAGTCCTTTGACCAGTCCATCCCAGTCTCCATAGGGTTCTTTTGCAACTGACAGCATTATTCAGTCTTGAAAAGAGATAATCTGAGCACCATACAAACAAAAGTCATAACCCTTGCCAGAAGGCAAAGTTCAATTGAGGGACAAAGTCCTTAAATGTGAATAGTCAAATGGTCTCAAATTCCTTGGGCTTATGTTGACTCTGGATTTCATAACCTTTAATCTTGCAGGGAGAATGTACTCCAACAGATCTGAAGCGACCTGCTAGATCCATAAGCAGAGAACTGACAGCATGGCCACCCCTGCAAAAGAGCCCTATTTATTTGCTTGACATGAATGGCTGAATCTGCTGTTGCTACTTATGGGGAGGCACAACACTGACAGCACATCCCACGAAGTCAACTTTCCTGTAAGTTATCAGGAACTGTTCAGATGTAGTCCCTCAGAACCTAGCAAAAGAGGGGAACACAACTTCATATATATCAAAATTCCATGTATGCCTTGCCAGACACAGCCTTTGTTGTGAGCACAGAATATGGCGTCTGTATGATGTTCTCGGGGTGAAGAGAAGCTATCTGATATACTTCATGACTCTCACCTGATCCTTTGCTTGTTTAACAAAGCTCAACACCTTCTCCAGGTGGGAGTGGTTGATAAGTGCTCCCATCCGTGTGTCTTCCAGCAGGGGGTCGCCAATTTTGATATTCTGTGTCTGTTTCATGACTTCCTTGGTGAAGGAATTCAGTATCTCGCTTTGCACAAACACCCGAGTGCCATTGCAACAAACCTGAGGCACAGAGAGAGATCTAAGAAAGTACCAACCAACCAACCAACCAACCAACCAACCAACCAACCAACCACACCTTTCTTGCTGGCTCTGGTAGCCACAATGAGCCACCTGCTCACTGGATCTTTGGCACTGATTTTAAATCTCCTGGGAATGGAGAAAATCAGACTCTTCCACACAGTACAAGAGTGTGAGCTGTAGTGCCACTTTTTGCATAGCAAACAAATGTTAGAATATAAGAATAGCACTGAAGTGTCTTCTTATGTGTCCTCTGAATACTGAGAATCTAGTCCACCAGAAAAACTGGAGCTGCCCTCCCTTGAATGAGATAAGAAAAAAGTTTGTTGTGAAGTAGAGCAGAAAGATTTTCTTAGAACTCTCAGTGCCACCATGTGGGGAAAATATAAAGAGCAGACAAGAGTGAACTACGGCATAAAGCAAAGCAGAAATGGCCTGAGGCATTTGGGTGTCTATGACCCAAAATCCAAATGGAACTCCATGTCAGTAAAAAATATAATCACATGTTATATTCTTGTTAGTGGTATCTTGAAGAAAGTCTGACTTACAGTTACAACATGTGTACTCTTGGTGGAGCCTTATGGCTTCAAGTTCAAGAGTGGACTAAATACAACAAGTTGCATCAAAGGGGCAAACATGAGCCTAGCAGGCCCACCAGTAAGAAAGGGATAGGCCTTGGCCTCTTGCCCTCAATAGTTGGGACTTTACAGGCATCTGTTTTCATGTCAAGATCAGATTCTCATTTATCTTAAAAACCAAGGCTTTCCATGCTGCAGTAATTTAGAAATGACAGATTTCTTTTTCAGCTGTAGAAGAATGTTACCACTGAACTTTGGACTTCCCTGACAAGACATAAACAAGCTCCTCAGGAGGTCCACACCTCGCCTTGTGTGAGGAAGTTGGCCATGAGAGCTCCTTTTACAGCATTCTCCAGGACACAGTCAGAGAAGATAATAAGGGGGGATTTGCCCCCCAACTCCAGAGTAACTGGCTTGATCCCTTTGGCTGCCATCTCCATGATCTATTGAAGCAAAGATGGAACAAGGTGTATGAGCAACACAAGCAAGTCTATCACAACTCTGCAAAATCTCTAGACAAGCGAAAAGGGACATCCTCATTTGGGAGTCTGCTGAATAAGCATCTATATCTTTTGCTTACGGAAGATACTTTCTGGTGATAAGTCAGGATTAAATGTCAAGTAATTCTGAGCCTACAGTGATGTTACGCTAACACAACTCTGTCTTCCATGCATAAAAGCATTTTGTAACACATGATAGATTTAACCACTCAGGGCTGAAATTTCATCTTGCTTTTCATGTGTCCTTGCCAGACAATTCTCCAGCAACATGGATTGAAAGGCAGGCAGTGAAAGGCTAGCGCTTTCCCCAAAGGATACAACATGGAAAGCTCCGACTGTAAGTACAGTGTTGACATGCTTTACATCTGCGGCTTGCTCAAAACACACTGTCCTCTAGCAATTCAAAAGCCCAAAGGGATTTGACTGTAGCGAATGGCAAAGGCATAAACAGAAACTTCTCCTATCCTGCTCTCTGGGGCCTCTCCAGCTTGCCTTCCCCACTCCAGAGGCATGCCAGGTACTCCAAACTGGCCTTTGCATCGCATGCTTGCGCTCCTGTAGACTTACCACCTGGGAAGCCAGAGGGCTAAACTTTGCAGTTCAATATTGCCAGCCGGCATTGGTGTCCTGTACCTTGATTCCTGTAGGAACGCTCCCGGTGAAAGAGACCTTGGCCACATTCGGGTGCTGGCACAGGAACTGGCCTGTGGCAACTCCACCTTGCACCACATTGAAAAGCCCCTTGGGAACTCCAGCCTCATGGTAGATCTCTGCCAGCATCACGGCGGAGACAGGGGTGAAGGGAGAAGGCTTGAAGACCATGGCGTTACCTAGGCAATTCACATGGGCCAAGGGGGAAAGAACAGCTGTGCATTAACTCTATCTGGAGGTGCAAAGGAGAAAGCTGGGGTGGGGAATGGATTTGGCCTCTCTGATCCCAGCTGAATGCCCAGTCCAAACATGATTGTTGAGTAAAGGCTCCTACTAGGGACAGAAGCAAGAAATGGAGTTACCACAATGCTCATCCCGCAAATCCCCATCTTAATTTGGTGGCCTCACAATCCACATTAATGTGTTCTCTCTCCTTCGCGGGACATGGGTGGCGCTGTGGGTTAAACCACAGAGCCTAGGACTTGCCGATCAGAAGGTTGGCGGTTCGAATCCCAGCAACGGGGTGAGCTCCTGTTGCTCGGTCCCTGCTTCTGCCAACCTAGCAGTTCGAAAGCACGTCAAAGTGCAAGTAGATAAATTGGTACTGCTCCGGCGGGAAGGTAAACGGTGTTTCCGTGCGCTGCTCTGGTTCGCCAGAAGCGGCTTAGTCATGCTGGCCACATGACCCGGAAGCTGTATGTCGGCTCCCTCGGCCAATAACCCAGATGAGCGCTGCAACCCCAGAGTCGGTCACAACTGGTCAGGGGTCCCCTTTACCTTTACCGCTCTTCTTCATCTGCCATTTATATACTTGACTTTATAATATTGCAGAGTATTGTTCCCTATTCCATGCATGGGCGCCCTACAAAGCCACCCCCTGGTATTAGCTGTTGGGATGACACCCACATTCTCACTCCTCATATAGAGCATCTCTTTTACCACAGGCCAAAGCCGGGGCAGACTTCCAGCAGGCAATCTGGAAAGGGTAGTTCCAGGCTCCTATTCCAACACAGACTCCAAGAGGTTCTCTTCTCGTATAAGCAAAGGATCCGCCGGGAAGCTGGATGTGCTGGCCTGGACAGGAAGGACAAAGCAAGATGAGCTGGAGCAGCACAACTGGTCAGAGTGGCTTGCAAAGTAAAAACCACAACAAACCAAACCAAAACATTTTAAAGAGGTAAGACTAAAAAGAGTATAAAACATATGGTATATTTTATATTATAAAAAGGATTGCAAATAAGTCCCCATTCCTTGAGTCCATTTGAATGGCTTTTTGCTTTGGATTCTGAGTGCAACCTTCTTCCTGAGGAAAAAAGATTTCATTTAATTGCTCCAATTTACCACCTGTGTGGTTCAAGGTCACCAGTGACTGCAGATATTGATTTTTAGCCACTGCATGATCTTCCAGCACTATACTCAAATTCCCAAAGGTGTCTTTATACTGGTAGTTTTCCTTAACTGTATTTTTGAGGTGAAAGGGTTCTGTTTTGCTTTGTAACCTAATAGTTTTTGCATTTCTTCCCTCATGGTGCTTTCTGTGATACGCTTTCGGCTCTGAATTGGCTACCTGGGCGGGCTGGGTGATACCTGGTTTTCAACACTGTGATCTATCAGCAGCTAAATATTGGGATATGCTGATACATCCACCACCCAAGTCATCTCCCCATTCCACAGAGTGAAACTCCCCACGTGCCCACTGGAACCTAACAAATTCAGCATGGAAACATTCTGTAGGAGCCCTGGTTGGTTGTGGCTGCCTGTGAAGTTTCTTTCTGCAGCTTTAAAAAGAAGAAATAATGCATTTTAAATATTAGACTAGTGATGGGGAACCTCCAGCCTGCTTATTTGGCCTGCTAGGTCTCAGAGGTTGGCTCAGCAGGTTGTTTGGGGCAAAATTTGCCCATCATATGTGATGGCGGGTGCAAGAAAGCTCAAGCTGTGGATACAAGGAAGAAGAATTGAGAATGCTTTAAGTGCACTCCCAAGTTTTCCTGCTCTTTAAACTTGGCACCTTTTTTGTTGCACCACATTTAAAAAGGACCAACTTTCTGATGCAAAGGAGGAACTGGTAATCCTGATTCTTTCCTTTGTAGCTGAGCCACCTGATGTCATATTAGTTTCAGCAAGTACACAACACTGCACACACGGAACCATTTTTCATGCCCAGTAGAAGAGCTGGACTCCAGACATCACTGCTTAAAGCGGAATACAAGAATTCTGGAAAAAGTAGCAAACCATATTATCTAAACAACAAATGTTTCCTGTCTGAACATTCAGGCTCCTCCCATGACTTGAAGCTGTTACCCACATTTGACTTCTGTACTGTTCCAAGGAGTGTATTAGACGACATGGGAAGAATGAAAAAATACAGAGCCAACGGAACAGAACTAACAAATGGAGTTGCAGACTCTTACCTGCTAGGGAGCCAGCTAAGCCAGCATAATACTGCAGACACTGCCAAGATGTATCAATATCTATTCGGGCTTCAGTTATGGATTTGCCATTATTGATTGTTTCCAAGGTAGCTATTTCTTCCCTTCGCTCCTAGAATCCCAACAGAGACACAGTATGAATCACACTATGCTAGCAGCAAGTGGAACTGGAATTAAGTGGCTGCCCAAGCTTCTTTTATATTCCACCAAAAGAAAGTCTGTGCCAAGAAAGCTAGAACTGCGAAGTGATATACATTTGTGCATATTTCTTTGTGCTCTATAATCAGCTATTTCTAGCCATTCATTTATTAAAATAATGTATATACCACTTTTGAAGCAGAACATGCCAGGGCAATGTGCGCTATAATAACTGAAGACAATTCACTAAAACACTACATTTATAAACATTTATATCTGCTGTGTCTAAGGAACAAAAAAAAGGTACCGTATTTTCTGCCCTATAGGACGCACTTTTTCCCCTCCAAAAATGAAGGGGAAATGTGTGTGCATCCTATGGGGCGAATGCAGGCTTCAGGAAGCTATCCACAAGCCTTGGGAGCCCAGCGCGACTTCCCTCGGGCTCCCAGGGCTTGCGGATGGCAGCCTGCGGGCTTTTCAGGGAGGTGGGGGAATTCCCCCACCTCCCAGAAAAGCCAGAAGCCGCGCGCTCGTTAAAGGGGTTGTGCGGCTTCTGCAGGCTTTTGCGAGGGAATCCCTCCACCTCCCAGAAAAGCCAGGAGAAGCCGTGCAGCCCTTTTAAAGAGCGCACGGCTTCTGCCGGTTTTGCAGGAGGTGGGGGAATTCTGGCTTGGGAACAGCCTTGTTAGCTTCTGCAGGACAGCGGGGTGAAGGCACCCCGCTGCCCTGCAGAGGCTTTGCGCGCAGCCGTCCCCAAGCTAAAAGAGCGAGACGGGGCCCTTCGTCTCGCTGCTCTGGCTTGGGAACAGCTTTCCTTTGCGCGCAGCCATCCCCAAGCTAGAAGAGCGAGACGGAGCCCTCCGTCTTGCTGTTCTGGCTTGGGAACAGCCTTGTTAGCCTCTGCAGGAGAGCGGGGTGAAGGCACCCCGCTGCCCTGCAGGGGCTTTGCGCGTAGCCGTCCCCAAGCTAGAAGAGCGAGATGGAACCCTCCGTCTCGCTGTTCTGGCTTGGGAACAGCCTTCCTTTGCGAGCAGCCATCCCCAAGCTAGAAGAGCCAATAGAAGCCGCGCAGCCCCTTGAAAGAGCGCGCGGCTTCTGCGGGAGGTGGGGAATACTCCCAGAGTTTGTCGGGGCTGGTGGGGGAAGGCTTGCGGATAGCAGCCTGTTCTGGGGGCTGGGTCGGGGGAAGCTGGCCCTGGGGGGGGGGAATAATTTTTTTTCTTTATTCCCCCCCCAAAAAAAAACTAGGTGCGTCCTATGGGCCGGTGCGTCCTATAGCGCAAAAAATACGGTACAACAGGAAGGCCTCTATGAACAGATACATTTTTAGTAGCTGGTAAAATAGCAGTACTTTTGGCCCCTGCTGGATGCTCAGGGTGTGTGTGGGGGGGGGGGGACATTCCACAAGGTGAGCAGCACCATGGAGGAAACATGCAACTTCAAGTAGCTGTAACGTGTGTGTCGGCAGGACGTGGCAGGACCAAGAGGGCTTTTCTCTTGAACTGCTCTTATTTACTACCAGCAACCTCCTGCAATGAGCCTTTAAGCAACATGCAAAATAAAAACAAACATTAAAACTTATCAAAATACCACTAAAGTACAAATACACTGGTGCCTCGCAAGACGAAATTAATTCGTTCCGCAAGTCTCTTCGTCTTGCGGTTTTTTCGTCTTGCGATGCACGGTTTCCCATAGGAATGCATTGAAAATCAATTAATGCGTTCCTAGGGAAACCGCCTTCAGACCTCTTCTGAAGGCTGGGGGGGGGGGGACAAGGGCTTTTCTTCCCACCCCCAGCATTTTAAAAAACCCTGGGACAGCGGAGGACTTCTCCGCTGTCCGGGGCGATCTTAAAATGCTGGCGGGCGGCATTTTAAAATCGCCCCGGACAGCGGAGGACTTCTCCGCTGTCCGGGGCGATTTAAAAGCCCCTGGGAAGGCAGGCAGGGGGGACAAAGACTTTCGCCCCCTGCCCGCCTTCAGAAGGTGTTCCCGCCCCCCGCCCCGCTTCGGAACAGCGTTCCGAAGTGGGGCGGCTGGGGCAGGTGTCCCCGCCCCCCCTCCCCGCTTCGGAACAGCTTTCCGAAGTGGGGCGGCTGGGGCAGTTGTTCCCGCCCCCCTCCCCGCTTCGGAACAGCTTTCCAAAGTGGGGCGGCTGGGGCAGGTGTCCCCGCCCCCCCTCCCCGCTTCGGAACAGCTTTCCGAAGTGGGGCGGCTGGGGCAGGTGTCCCCGCCCCCCCTCCCCGCTTCGGAACAGCTTTCCGAAGTGGGGCGGCTGGGGCAGGTGTCCCCGCCCCCCCTCCCCGCTTCGGAACAGCTTTCCGAAGTGGGGCGGCTGGGGCAGTTGTTCCCGCCCCCCTCCCCGCTTCGGAACAGCTTTCCGAAGTGGGGCGGCTGGGGCAGTTGTTCCCGCCCCCCCTCCCCGCTTCGGAACAGCTTTCCGAAGTGGGGTGGCTGGGGCAGGTGTCCCCGCCCCCCCTCCCCACTTCGGAACAGCTTTCCGAAGTGGGGCGGCTGGGGCAGTTGTTCCCGCCCCCCCCCTTCAGAACAGCGTTTTAAAATGCTGGGGGTCGGGAGCGAAGCGCTGCCGACCCCCAGCATTTTAAAACCTTCCCGGGAGATTTTAAAATGCTGCGGGTCGGCAGCGCTTCGCTCCCGACCCCCAGCATTTTAAAACCTTCCCGGGACACAGGGAGATTTTAAAATGCTGCGGGTCGGCAGCGCTTCGCTCCCGACCCCCAGCATTTTAAAACCTTCCCGGGACACAGGGAGATTTTAAAATGCTGCGGGTCGGCAGCGCTTCGCTCCCGACCCCCAGCATTTTAAAACCTTCCCGGGACACGGGGAGATTTTAAAATGCTGCGGGTCGGGAGCGAAGCGCTGCCGACCCGCAGCATTTTAAAACCTCCCCGGGACATGGGGAGATTTTAAAATGCTGCGGGTCAGCAGCGCTTCGCTGCCGACCCCCAGCATTTTAAAACCTCCCCGGGACACGGGGAGGTTTTAAAATGCTGCGGGTCGGCAGCGCTTCGCTCCCGACCCCCAGCATTTTAAAACCTTCCCGGGACACGGGGAGATTTTAAAATGCTGCGGGTCGGCAGCGCTTCGCTCCCGACCCCCAGCATTTTAAAACCTTCCCGGGACACGGGGAGATTTTAAAATGCTGCGGGTCGGCAGCGCTTCGCTCCCGACCCCCAGCATTTTAAAACCTTCCCGGGACACGGGGAGATTTTAAAATGCTGGGGGTCGGCAGCGCTTCCCGACCGCCAGCATTTCCCTAAGGGCTTTCGTCTTGCGATGCAAGCCCATAGGGAAATTCGTCTTGCGAAGCGCCTCCAAAACAGAAAACCCTTTCGTCTTGTGGGTTTTCCGTCTTGCGAGGCATTCGTCTTGCGGGGTACCACTGTAATTCAGAATATTGCAGTCAGCCAACAAGAATAAAAACCACCTTAACTCTTTTGGGTGAATTAAGCAATGGCTATATGGCAGAGGCATAACGGCAGCTATGATCCAAGGGCCTCCAAGCACATGTCATATAAAGCAGCTCTGAGCAGTAGGATAAGGTTGGGAAGGCAAGGACACCCCAAGGCTTTCAATCTGAGCAAAGGTGACTTTTACTTACCTAAAGCTGTTAATAGGTTAGTGATTGACACAGCACTGCAAACCAGAGTCCACAAATCTGGCTTCCAGGGGCAAATGCACTTCCCTCTCTAGCAACCTCTCCTTCTATTGACACCTTGCACAAGATCTCCTCTCATTCTTCAAGTATTGCACAGAACTCAGGAGAAGAGAGAGGCCAGCAGCAACCACAAACTAGAGTGATTAAGCCAAGTCAAAACTGGTGGGCAATGGCTGAAAAGGTATCCCCTTGGAAAGCAGCCAACGCTGCCTGAGAGGAGGCTGGGCTGGCTCATGTGATTTTTAACACATACCCGGATTATCCTGGCAGCCTCCAGCAGGACAGTGCTCCGTTCCATGCCTGACTTCTGACTCCATATTTTAAAGGCAGCCTGTGCATTTTGCACAGCCAGATCTACTTCCTTCTCTCCAGAGAAGAGAAATTTGCCAATAACTCGCCCTGAAGGGAAAATAATAACAACAATAATAATAATTCAGGTTTCTAAAGCACAACTTGTTAGCATACCTCTGTTACAAAAAGCTTTTACAGAAGCAGGTCTTGCATTTTGATTTTATGTTACTATTGCAGATTTATCTGAATGGCCACATTCCTTAATTTTGAAAAGCCGCAATCCAGAAAGAGGATTATTATTTATTACATTTGTATACTGCCCTTCATCCACAGATCTCAGGAAGGTTCACAACATAAAAATATACTTAGACCAATGCACACTTAAAAACAAGCACCTAAGATAGTCCACATTCAGCAACAAGAAAAGCAGATTTCTGCACAATCATACTGATTAAGCAAGTTTAATTTGTAAATTGTTTGCTTTGCATAATGTATCCTGTTTCCACCAGTCATTAGGAAGGTTAAAAGTGGAGGCAGAACTGGTTTCTCCTACATTTCCCCCCATGCTTTTACAGTTCTACGATGAGTTGACTGAAAATCTTTTGAGATGTCAATAGCTATTACTTACATGCTTAAATCATATGTAACTGTAAGATCCAGAAACTTGGTAAAGAAAGTATTTTTCAGAGTTCTTGGAAAGCTGCCTTTTCTGCACTTGCAACGGATTGGGCTTTCAGACTCCTCTTCCTCAGGCTGGTTCAGGCTGCCTGGTTAGGGTGGTTCTCACAGGTTACTCTGAGCTGTTTCTTCTTCTTCTTCTTCACATTTGTGCCACTGTCCATTTAAACTAGCTTCCCGCCACTCTCAGCAAGCTCTGATTCTATCGTCTCTTTCTTCTTCTTCCTTGATTTCTGCTTGTAGCTCTGGAGAGTCTGAGGGAGATGAGGCTGCTGCTCCGTGTTCCCCAACACCCTCCATGACCTTCTTTGTCTGGCTCCACTGGGACGACTTCTTTTACGCTTTCCTTTCCAGCAACCCACATAGTTATACTTCCAGGCCTGGGGATTTTTCTCATGGGGCTTGCTGTGAGTGCCCAGTAAGACTCGCCTTGATCATCATCGTCTTCTGGGCAGCTTTCGGGACAAGCCCCCACTTGTGAGCGTAGGTGTCTTTTCCATTATCACATGCTTGGTTTTTGGCATAACTCCATGACTGCAAGTACTGCAGTTGTCATCAAAGTACTGGCTGTGCAAATGGTCTCTCCTTTTGTGCTGATAACAACTTTCTTATGGACTTTGAGGCTGTCTTCATACCACAGCAGGCCAGGTCACATGCTCTTTTCACCATAACAAACAACGTTCACTGCATTGTCCTTCATAACCAGTCGCTTGTAGGGTGTCTTTTTTTAAAAAAATATAATTTTTATTAGCAGGCCAATCAAATCACATTATTTCCAAATCACATTAGTTCCAAATTATACAGCCAGATTTTTAATTTTTTGTTGGGGGTACCCATACTTCAAGCTCCGAACAGGGGTCCAAGCATCACTTATATTGCTGCTTTAATTAGACAGTTCTATCCAGTTCTGTCCAGATAGTCTCTTTATTACTTTCCTCATCTTCTTGTTGTTATCATATATTCCTTTCTTTGCGATCTCTGATAATCTTCACAAGCGGGTTGAAAACAAACATCCTCTGTGTGGGTTTTACACTCTCCAAAAATCATATCACATAAGGACAGACGCCATTTCCACATTCCACACCTCCGTAAAAAAACTTTCCCTCAGTCTGTCCATTGATTTTCCCAGGCTTGCCAAGCATATCTCAGAGGGCTCTGCCAGGTCTAGATCACATTCCGATCACCATTCACACTCCGATGACCCTGGTCCTCCTCCCCCCGTCCTTCTTAGGCAAGCCTGTCTTGGCGAGACGCCATTTAAAACTGCATCATAAAACTTTCCTCCGTTCTCCGATGTTTACCAATCCTCTCTTTGATCAATAATTCACTCCACACAGTTCTTGAATTCCTGCTTGTGATTAATAAATTGCAACGATTCTTCTCTCTGGGGTGGAGGGTTATTAATACTCACATAAGGCCAAAAAAAAAGAAAAGATTTTTCCTCCACCCCCTTTCCGTTTCACTCCAAACATACCAGTCTTTTAATGGTGATTCATCACTTGATTTATTTGTCCCGCCCGTCGCTCCGCTCACAGAGATCCATTAATCAGCAGTCTTTACTCCCGATCTTCGCTTGATGTATGTGCTTTAGCTTCTTTCCAATTATATATTTCCAATTATATATTTCAAGCTAAAGCGAACCAGTGCACTGATTGGAGACAGCGTCAGGAAGAGCCGACTTCACCCGAGGGCTTGTGCCAAGTGTCTGCACCCCCTTCTTTCGAAACCGGGAGTGAATTATGGACACTGCTGGCAAGGCAGTCCCCCCCATCTCCTTGGGGGGGCCGGGAAGGCTGCATACTTCCCATAGCAGCCTCTTAATTACCTCGTGTGGGTCGGAGAGATGTTATTGTCAGCCTTCTTCCAATGCGCCACCTGGTGGCCCCCGTCGCTTGTAGGATGTCAGCAGCTTCTCCAAGGGGAAGATCACCCTCCTGAGAGAAGTCTCATACTTGCTGTTGTCATATTGCCACTAGGCATCCAGCACTGTCCTTCTCTCCCATGACCCCAGATCACACTTGCCAAAGCTCCTGCTTCTGACCTGCCACTCTCGGCAACGAGCCCAGGTGCACACATAGCATCCAGATGCAGGTCCTGGCTGCACAGCTCACCCAGAAAGTACCCAATCTTCTTTCTGGTTCATATTCATATGCATGTGGCTTGCTCAATGCACACAATCAGACCCCCAGGCACTTTGGGGTCCAGCATGCCACTGTGCAGTCTTCTCAACATGGAGGATGCAGCAGACCCAGACCACCACTTCATAGAAGAAGGGCTGGGAGGCTTGTTCTAATTGATGAAGCCCATCCTTACACACTCGCCAATCACTCTCCTTAAGAGATTGCAACCAGAAGGAAGGAGTGTGTAGCATGCTGTCCTCACTTTCAGCTTGTCAAAGTTCTTGAGAAGTAAAGGCCATTGTGATATGTCCAATTGAGCCTCTCTGGATTCAGGCTTGACAAGGAATTCTTCTGAATATTGAACATCAGCAACTATTTATCGGGCAGGGTTTCTATTCTTTCTTTTTCCTATGCTTCTTAAGAGACAGAGTGTGGTTCATCTATTATCTTCTGCATAGGACTGCAGGCTGTGTGCTGAACAGGAAAAGCTATTTATTCTGCAACATGGCCTACCAAGAGGAAAAGCTTGAAGCGTCCCATCACACCCATGCCTGCACCAGGGGTAGGCAATTCATGGCCCTTGGCCTAATTTCATGAAAGTGGCAAGGGGGGAAACCAGAAGAAAAGGGCAGGCAGAAACTCACTTACAGCTCTGTCCCTGCCCACCTTTAGCAGGGTAATTAGCCATAAGAACACAAACTGATGTTCAAGACTAAAGTATTATAAATTTGGTTCTTTGGTGTCAATGAACAAGATAATAATTAAAAATAAAATAAGCTTATATAAGCAATATTCTATGCCAATGAAATTGGGTGGGAAATGGTCTGACTTCTCAGACATGTTGGAAACTCAGCAACCTCTATCCCATTTGATGGCACTGCAATGGCATCAGGGCACTTTGGTTTATGATGGAAAATGCATTACTACAGATTTTTTTAAATTGCCTTTTCTCCCCAAATAGATTTATTGAATAATATAACAAGCCAAGTTCAATATTTGCTTGTTGTTGATTTGCTAACTGTAGCAAGAAAGTGATTTGCCAAATATTTGACACTGCTCCAAAAGGTTTGTATTGAAAACAGGACCTGACATTATATTGTGTAGACAGACATATAAAGAGACGTACATAGTCATACACAGGGAAATAAATAAATGGTATTTTTTATTCATTATTAGAGGGGGGGAATCCATGCTTGAGGGAAAATGATACAGTAAAGTATCAATGATTTTTGGTAAATGACAGACAGTAAGACTCTCTAACTTATCATAGAATCATAGAGTTGGAAAGGATTCTGAGATTCATGTAGTCCAACCCGCTACAATGCAGGAATCTCTGCTTAAAGCATCCCTGACAGATGGCCACTCAACCTCTGCTTAAAAACCTCCAAGGAAGGAGAGTCTACCACCTCTCATGGGAGACCATTCCACTGTCAAAAAGTTTTTCCAGATGTTTATTTGGAATCTCACTTCTGGTAACATGAATCCATTGGTTCAAGTCCTACCCTTCAAAGCAGGAGAAAACAAGCTTGCTTCGTCTTCCATATGGCAGCTCTTAAGATATTTGAAAATGGTAATCCTATTTCTTCTCAGTCTCCTCTTTTCCAGGCTCCCTCAACTGATCCTCATAAGGGTCCTCATAAGGGTCTGGAAGCTGGGCTTCCAGACCCTTGATTACCTTGGTCACCCTCCCCTGCATATGTTCCAGCTTGTTAACATCCTTCTTAAACTGTGATGCTGAGAACTGGACACCACAAGCAGGGATGAAACTAGACTTGATTTCACCTGGATCAAAAACAAGGTTTTAGGAGCCTCAATGGCGCCCCTCTGAAGACTTCACGGGGGGGGGGGACCCCTGGCTAGCCTTACCATAGCTATAACTCTGCCACAAGGCAGAATAGAGAAATTCTATTGCTTCCCTTGTTTGGGTCACTACACTTCTGTTGATGCAGCCTAGAATAGCATTCCCTTTTTTTGCTGCTGCATCACTCATGTTTAGCATGTGGTCTACTAAGACCCCTAGATCCTTTTCACATGTACGTCTTATAGTTGACCAGGTGTCTTATAGTTGTGCAGCTGGTTATTCCTGCCAAAGTGTAGAACCTTAAATTTGTCCCAACTGAAATTCATTCTGTTAGCTTGGGCCCAGTTTTCCAGTCTGTTAAGGTCATCTTGAATCCTGATTCTGTCTTCTGTGGAATTAGCTCCCCCTCCCAGTTTGGTGTTTTCTACAAATTTGATGAGCATCCTCTCAATTCTTTCATCCAAGTCATTTATAAAGACACTGACCAACATCTTTATAAACATCTTTATCATTTATTATTGTTACAGCAAATACAATAGTTTAAAAAATACATGTGTCAGGACAAAAACCAGTACTCCACTGTCTCCATTATTTGCAAGTCTTGCATATCAGCCCTCAGCCACATTTTTTTACCAATCACCAAATTCAAAGTTCAAGCATTAAAAGATAAACAATTCAGAATGCACCTTGGAACGAGTGCAGCCAGCCAACAGCTTCAAAGGTCATAGATTCCTGGTTCTTCTGGTTGGAATAAATCTAAGCCAGAAACTTATTTGAATAATGTAAATAGTGATGTTAAATTCTCGAGAATAATCTTTTGGAGAAAATTCTTGAGAATATTCTCAATTAATGAAAATATTGGAGAATTTTCATTTAAAATAGTAGAATATGGCACCTTGTACCATTGAATGGCACTGCAAAAACCAGTTACTGGCACTAAATAAAAATATAGAAACAACAACTGTTTAAATCAAGGCCACCTCACATGCTGTTACACATAATTTTATAGGCCTAGGTACTTTAAGTGTATAAAACATTAAAGCTACTTTCTGTAAAAATAATCACACTGTATGGCCAAGGGTATAGAATTGCTAAGAATAAGATCACACCAAAATAGAAAAAAGGCTATTACATACAGTTGAAATACATATGAATTCAAATGTTCATCATATTAAATGAAAAGCACTTTTAAAACTAAAAAATATTGTTTTCTGTAGCTCACATTTCAAAACTGCCAATGGTGAATGACACAAGGCCCAGTAATGTAACTGGATCAAAAAAAAACATTATTCATTACTTACACTGCCAATATCACAGCTTGACTTATTATTCACTAGGTTTTTAAAATGAGTGTTGTAAAACTGGTTCTTACACTAGAATTTACAGTTTGTGGAGTGGAATTTTCCAGTAGAGAATATTCTCGATAATATTCTCACCTCACATCACTGAATGTGAATGCTATCTAAAATGCCAAGTCAATAGCAAATTGGTGTACTACAGAGTCTAGGGTGGGGATTCCAAAGCCACCTT